CTGTTGCTGCGGCCGCCGGGACGCGGCGGGGGGGCCGACGTGCACGCCCTCGGGGGCTTGTACGGGGACGGCACGGCGCTGCACGCGGCGGCGGAGGCGGGCAGGGCGGACATCATCGAGATGCTGCTGGCGGCGGGCGCGGAGGTGAATGCGCGGAGTGCGAGGAGAGGACGGGCGCAGAGCGCGTTGCAGAGCGCGGTGGCGGCAGGGCACGAGGAGGCGGCGCGGGTGCTCCGGGAGAATGGCGCGACGGGCAAGTCTGGCGGCCGGTGTTTTCTGTTCCCATAACGTATGTTGCTGTGTTATTGAAACTCGACTATTTTCGAAGTCGGGCGTTTTGTGCTTCGTGTTGTAGCCGTGTGAGTGAGTAGTTTATCATGGAGGAGGCAGGTAATTCGACGTCTACGGCCGCCTGGCGCGCGAGGAAGTTAACTTTCTCCCGAACTTATCATTTTATCCTTTTTATCTTTCATGTTTCCTATATTTCCTATGTTTCGAAGAAATGCTTTCTTTCTTATGTCTTGTATTTCTTATGCTTTGTTGTATCTTCCGTGTCTTTTTCTCTCGTCTCTTCTACATCCTTTATACGTCCTTGTTGATCCCTGCCGTTATCACGGTTATATCCATAATCTTGGAAAGTGACAGTTTTTGCTCGACACGCAACATGAGTTGACTTCTCCCCAGCAAGCCAGAGAAGCGGAACTACACCGAGCATTTCGCGCGCCCTCTGTTGACTTATATCTAGGGCACCTCTTTCGGGAAGAAATAGCGCGGCGACATAGTACGGCTTAGGCAAAAATTGAGATATTTTCAGCTATTTTTGAACAAGCCAGGGCAGAGAGCAAACACCTCTGCAGATGAACTTGTTCCAGGGCAAGACATGGCTGTGGACTGATGCTAATTGTAGAGGCGGGAGTAGGCCGGGGCTATCAGGCATAGGCGATGGGGCCTGTGCGCCTGGAGCTGGGGAGAGCGTCGAGCTGTTTAGCTTAATTCGTGTGCTGTTCTCCTTTCAGTGTGCTTTGTTATAGTTGCTTCTTTGTATTAGGCTATTATAGTCTAGGCCATATCTAGTGCCGCAACTATCTGGAGCTAGATAGGTCGATAGGAATGCGGAAGCATCAAGCCATTGAGGGTTCAAGTTAGCGTGCGGCGCACGCGAGTCAATGCCGTGGGCTTGAGGCTGACGTTGAGTTGGGGACTGGAATGGAAACGGATTTGGAAGGGAAAAAGGGATAATAACCACAAGGCTGATGGAAAATGGGTGTCGAGAGTCGTGGTCAAGAGTTGTCAGTTAACAAGCAGGATGTACAGTCAACTACCGGCAAAGTTGCATGGATCACTCAGCAGGCGACAGCTCCTGGTGACCCGAGTCAGCCACCAAGAAGGCAGGCTGGCGCTACTGGAGACCCAAGACTTGTGGTCGTCGTCTTCATGCGGGCGCGGCACGTTTGCGGCGTCGCAGAGATGGCATGGGATGGGATGGGATGTCGTGCAGGGCGTCGGAGAGAGCTGGGACCTCGATGTTGTTGAGTCATTCGGGTGTCGATAGGCGCCCATCATGGCCACACGCACCGTGTCTGTGGGAGGTGAGCGGTCAAGTCATCAACTTGCCTATCAGCAGCCCGTTATTAGGCGAAACCAACAGCAGGCTGTGGTGGACATGTCACGTTTCTCAGTCAAGGTTGATCAGCCAAGCCAAGTGAGACGGCGAAAAAGACCCTGGACTGGGCTGCCAAGAAGATAAGGCAAGGGGAGGCAGAAAAGCGGAGTTATATTGTGTGTGCGATTAAGAAGCAGTTATAATGAAGACAACAATAACAATAAATGACGGCCGTCATGAAGATGCAGTGAGAACACGGGGCGAGACCGGGGCTCACATGTGCGGTGGCAGTTGCAATGCAAAGGTGTCCGAATTACAATGGAGGGAGAACCCTGTGTCCTCTGAGAAGTTAGCGCTGTCAGATGTCTCGGCTGCGAGCGGCGGCGCCGAGATGGGGTGCTGCATTAGCTGAATAGCGAACTGGTCAGTTAGCAGTGAAATCCCAGGGCCTAACGAAAACGCGAACCGAAAGAAAACCCCCATCAGACCCCGGTCATTTGAAAATTCCGTCGTGTTTTCCACTTTGGTCATTTTTTTCCTCGTCCCAACCCAGCATGCATAATCGGCGCATTGTTGCATGAGCCAGGGAGTACGTACAACATGTATCAAGTCATGAGCGCCCAGTGACAGTGCCCGTGGCTTCCAGTCAGTGGTGCTTAAGCGTAGCAGGGGACAAAGTCAAGTGACGAGGCCGACGCCACCGCCCAAACAGGCACCCCGCCAGAGGGTCTACTGTAGACACCCTGTAAATTGGTGCCCTCCAGCAGCCTTTTAGGTTGAGTTAGCGCTGGTCATGCCCGGTGGACGGCTGAACCCGGCCCACTGATTAGTACGCCCTGTGGCCGCCGCTACATAAGTCGGTTGCTAGAGTGGCCATTTCCTCTATTTTCGGCCGTTTGGTGATTAGAACTGCGCTAAACTGTCTCGCTCCAGCCGCTGTAGTTAACTACTTACCTATCTGCCTTCCATCCAGCCAAGCAGCCTCACAACTGCATTCGGCAGAGGTTCTCGTCCACATTCAAGTACTCTCAAGTACCACTATTCCCAGATTTCTCTTCTCTCTTCCTTTGCCCTCTCCCGTTTCCGTCTATTCAATCAATTCCTTCAACCCCCATTGACACAACTCCGTCCACGGACCAGAGTAACCCGCTGACACTGGCCTCTTGACACCCGTACCAGGCTGCCCTTTGTCCTTATCCCTTGTCCCTCGTGTCCCTTGTCCTCAGTACGGCAACCAAGCAGACGATATATCCTCCGCCGCCCTTGCCCCCTTCGGCTCATGTCATCAACTTCCCTTCACAGCGACATTTTCTCCTCTGCATTTTCGCCTTGCCTTGCATCCGATTTATTAGGTAGTACCTGGTTACCACTTGCAGCACCCCCGACACCAGGTACCAACAGCCGTTAGCCACCAGCACCTGAACCAAAGTACCGCTGAGTTGCTTGGCCATATCCACCGCCCACCTAACCGGCCCTTCACGCAAACACGACCGAGACCGAATCCTCCTCCTTCCTCTCCTCTAAACTCGCCTCATCTCACCCGCCGCCGCCGCGTTTGGTTCTGCGTTGGTTTGCGTCTCTACGCCCAACATCACCACCCTGCGCCTCCTTGTGTTTCCTCCCTTCATTACCGCGTTCGCCTCAGGCCGTCATAATGTTCACCCAGCCTGTCCAGCCGCCAGCCGCCGCGCCCCAGCCGTCCAACACAGTGTCACCCTCGCGCTCCTCCCGCCTGCGAGGCCTGAGTTACCTTCGAAATTACACCCAGAACCATATCCTCTCGCGCGACCCCTCGAACACCGGCGCCGCCACATCATCTTCCACCCCCGGCACCAACAATATCAGCACCGCTACCGGTGCCGCCACTGCCTCGAGGCAGTCGGCTGGCCTCACTCGTTCCGTCTCCTACACCCCCGGCGCCCTGACGAATCCACAGCCCGCATCAACCAGCACGAATCGCCTGTCGCTTGTTAGTTCCACTCCCGAGAACAGGACGGCTCGCCAGACCGCCACCTCGAATTCCATCTCCGAGTCCGCGACGCATTCCCAACTCCCACAACAAACCAACGGTACCACAACCGCCTCCAACAACGACCCTGCCGCTGCCACTACTTCTGCCGCTGCCGCTGCTGCTCCTGCCGCCATGCCAACATCAGCTGCCGACGGCGCTTCTTCCGCTGCCGGTTCCAGCTCGACCCCCGAATCTGCCCCCTCAATCCGTTTCTCCTCCTACTTTGATCAGCGCGCCTCACGGCCCTCCCTCAACTTCTCCCCCATCACCCGCACCCTGCCCACCGGCACAGAGGTCATCCGCGTCGGCCGCTACTCGGAGCGCGACAGTCAGCCACTCTCCAGCGTCTCTGGCAACCAGCCGTCGGCAGCCAATGTCGGCTTTAAGAGCAAGGTTGTCAGTCGACGGCACTGCGAATTTTGGCATGAAGACGGCAAGTGGTACGTCAAGGATGTCAAGAGTTCCTCTGGCACCTTTCTAAACCACATCCGCCTCAGCCCCCCTTCCCAGGAGAGCAAGGCCTTTGTGGTCAACGATGGTGATATTATCCAGCTGGGCATTGACTTCAAGGGCGGCGAAGAAATGATCTTCCGGTGCGTCAAGATGAGGCTTGAACTCAACCGTGGCTGGCAAAATAAGCCCAACACTTTCAAGTACGTAACTGCTCGCACACTGTCCATCTTTAATTTCGCCCCCTAACCTCATCTAGTGTCGCCGCTCACAAGCGCCTTCGAACTATGGCCTCCGCCAATGCCGCCGCTGGTGAGGCTTCCAGCTCCGTCTCGACCCAGGACTGCGTCATCTGCCTCAACTCGATTGCTGTACGTCATCTTCCAGCTGCCTTGTTTCTACCTGAGTAACTACTGACCAGACTCCAGCCGTGCCAATCGCTCTTTGTTGCACCCTGCTCGCATACTTGGCACTTCAAATGCGTCAAGGCACTTCTCATGGGGCCCCAATATCCCATCTTCATCTGCCCCAACTGCCGTGCCGGTGCCGACCTCGAAGCCGATGTCGAGGAGCCTGAGGAAGAGTGGGAAATGTTTGACGAACAAGAAAAGGAAGACAAGCTAGGCCCCATCGCTGAAGGCGAGGCATCGCCCGCCCCCGCTGAGGCATCGTCCTCCGACCCTGAAGTGGCCGATCCAGACCGCATGGATATCACTATAAGTGAGCCCACAGACACGCCAGAACCCTCGAATCCCACCGCCCATGCGACATCCGCGCCTCTGCCCATTCGGAACGCCTCGGCTACTCGCCGAAGCACACCCTCACCACCTCGTCCAGGAGCAGAAGGCCCGATCACACCGAGAAACGATGTCGGGCCCTGGGTACTTGACGGTCGCGCCGGTCGTGACGCGCCCCATGGCGTGCAAATGTCGAGCCTCGACGCCGCAGCAACAGAAATGGACTTGACCATCCACGTCGGCGACCACTCTGCACAATAGATATACCCAGAGGCTTCATACCTACCAACACTCATCATTATACTATTTGTCGCCAACGACGGGCTCACGAGTACATAGATTGCGAATTTCTTTATGTCAATTTGTTTGCACCCTGTTTCTCCTTTCTACATATTCCTGCCCATTGGGAGCTCTCAAGCCTGGTTTCCTGTTTCTATTGTGTGGCAAAATTCCCAGGCGTTGATTGTTTTTCGGAGCATTTTTGCATTTTCTGGGGGCATTTCTTCTATAACTTTTATACATGAACATGGGTCAAGGGCAGTATTTTAGCTGTAGTTTGTTATCCCAAGTATCCGTCGGCGAGGCAGTGCAGCACGAGTCGCATGAGGTGGTGGGGCTGCAGTTAATATATGAATGAAGAGCTTTTTCCTTTTCAACAAGAGAATGTAGATGATCAAAAGCTGCGCGTAAAATGTGACGGTTTCCCAATCCCACTTTCGAGTTCATCTGTCTTGTGTAATTAATTGATTTAATGTTCCGACGTGCATGCTACCTTGGAGAACCCTTCTTCCCCACGTACGCACGGTGACGTCGCCGGATCGGAGCCGCCGCAGCGAGTTGATCCGATATATCGCCGAGTCTAGTCAAATTTCCAGAACCACACCAAACCGACCAACCCCATGCCCGCTATAGTCAGACCTTTTGCCATTCACACATTAACACGCCCACTTGCATCTTCGGTCGCGCGACACCAAAACGATAACCATGCTGCGACAACTAGCTGCGCGGCTGCCTCTCGGCAACCGGGCCTCGATTGCCCCCAGAAGCAGCACTGCAGCCGCCACCGCTCTGCGCCGAACCACTGGCCTTTCCCTCCCTAAACGGACCATGGCGACAGTCTCCGTCGAGGGCATCCCCAAGGTACGCCCGCCTCCCCATGCCAACGACTTCCCTTCCTCCTTTTTCTCTCACCCATTCCTACCAAGTAGCGAGAACAACGGAACTGACCGCTTCCACCCAACCGTCTTAGGAACCCACCGACCTCGACCAGATCACGACCCTGCCCAACGGCCTGCGCGTCGCCTCCGAGGCTCTGCCCGGCTCCTTCGCCGGCGTCGGCGTGTACGTCGAGGGCGGCTCGCGCTTCGAGGACGCCTCCCTGCGGGGTGTCTCGCACATCATGGACCGGCTCGCCTTCAAGTCGACCGCCGCGCGGTCTGCCGACGCCATGCTCGAGCGCGTCGAGGCGCTCGGCGGCAACTTCCAGTGCGCGAGCTCCCGCGAGAGCATGATGTACCAGGCGGCCACCTTCAACGCGGCCGTCCCGCAGGCGGTCGAGCTGCTGGCCGATACTATCCGCGAGCCCCGGCTGACGGCCGAGGAGGTGGCGGAGCAGATCGAGACGGCGCGCTACGAGATCGCCGAGATTTGGGGCAAGCCGGAGCTGATCCTGCCGGAGCTGGTGCACACGGCCGCGTACAGGGACAACACGCTGGGCAACCCGCTGCTGTGCCCGGAGGAGCGCCTGGCTGAGATTGACCGCGACACGGTGCTGCGGTACAGGGAGCGCTTCTACCGCCCGGAGCGCATGGTGCTGGCGTTTGCGGGCGTCGAGCACGAGGTGGCCGTGGACCTAGCCCGCCAGTTTTTCGGCGACATGGCCACGACGGCGTCGGCTTCCTCGTCCCGCCGAGGTTCCGAATCCAGCATCGCCGCGTCTACTTCTTCCACGTCCTCCGCGAGCAGCAGCAGCGCAGCCGCCTCCTTTTCTACATCCGCCTCCTCCCACGCCGCCCACACCACCACATCCTACTCCCCTGCGTACCCTCCCTCGCGGTACACCGGCGGCTTCTTGACGCTGCCCGCGCAGCCTCCATCGCTGCACAAGACCAACTTCACGCACGTCCACCTCGCCTTCGAGGGCCTGCCCGTCGCCTCGCCCGACATCTATGCTCTCGCCACGCTGCAGACGCTCCTCGGCGGCGGCGGCTCCTTCTCCGCCGGCGGGCCCGGCAAGGGCATGTACTCGCGTCTCTACACCAACGTCCTCAACCAGCACGGCTGGGTCGAGTCCTGCGTCGCCTTCAACCACAGCTACACCGACTCAGGCCTCTTCGGCGTCTCCGCCTCGTGCCTCCCCGGCCACACCAGCGCCGTCCTCGACGTCGTCTGCCAGGAGCTGCGCGCCCTCCCCCTCGAGGCCGGCCTCTCCCGCCTCGGCGAGGCCGAGGTCGCCCGCGCCAAGAACCAGCTGCGCTCCAGCCTGCTGATGAACCTCGAGAGCCGCATGGTCGAGCTCGAGGACCTGGGTCGCAGCGTGCAGGTCCACGGCAAGAAGGTGCCCGTAAGGGAGATGTGCGCCAAGATCGAGGCGCTCACGGTGGCGGACCTGCGGCGCGTGGCGCGCGAGGTGCTCGGCGGCATGGCGGGCGGTGGTGGCAGCGGCGCGCCGACGGTGGTGCTGCAGGAGGCGCAGGCGTACGGGCTGACGAGCCACACCATGACGTGGGACCAGATCCAGGACCGCATCGACGGGTGGAAGCTGGGTCGCAAGCCGTGAGCCTCGCGTGCGTGTGAGGCGGTAACACTGTATAATAGAAGCGAGGGATGATGCCTGCGCATCGTTTGTACGATATCGACAACAGGGCATAGAGAACGGGCATGTATATGAACCTAGATCACTACTAGAAAAATCAACTCTAATTAGCAAAATTGAAACATGATGAATATGAGAACAGAGGTAGATGAGTTATCGTGATATTTGAAAAATTTATTCAGTAAAACTCCGCCCAACGCTAATATCAAAGACAATTCATCTAAAGACCCAGCCAGTGTGCCTGTCGAGCCCATCTAGTTCTTCTGGTGTATACCCCCGGCGACCCATTCCTCTCCATCTATTTCTCTATTCATCTCCATATATCCCTACTTCCGGTTACAACTTGGACCGCACCGCTTCCAATCTATACTTGACGTCCTTGAGCGCCTTGTTGCTCGGCTTCCAGTCGTCAAACTGCCGCAGCAGCTCCTCCGTCTCGGCGCTCAACTCCGTCTTGACAAAGTCCTCTTCGAGCAGCCCACGCATGATCCACGGCAGGACGTACGGATTGGCCGAGGCCAGGGCGGGCGCCGCACCGGTAGGCGTGGCCGTCGGCACGGTACGGTGCGCGACGTGGCACGGCGTCGGCTGCGGGACTGACGTTGTCTCCAGGGCGTGCGCAATGGCTAGGTCGTACACGGCGTCGTCATAGTACAGCCGCGAGTGGCCCTCGCCAGAGTACAGAGAGCCCGCGAGCGCGAGCGACAGCTCCCGCACCAGCCCGTGGTCGCTGACGCCTAGGTTACGCAGCTTGAGTGCGAAGCCGACCAGGTGCGCGATGAAGTCGGGCGCGTGGATGCGTCCGTCGATGAACACCGCACGGTAAATATACGGATGAGAGGCAGGTGAGTACACGGCAGACTAATTTGTTAGCGGAATGTTCGCAAAAACCGGCAACAAAGCAGACTCACTTCCATGGGAACAACCTGGTCGTCGATGCTTCCAATAAATGTTACGCGGGCGCCGTAGTCCAATACCCGTTTCAACGCTGCTTCAAAACGCTGCGAGTTGGCGCTCTGCGGGTTTCCAAAATCCCATAACTCAGCCGCCGAGCCCATCAGAAAACTTGACTTGTAGTCGGGGAACGGCCCCAGCGCAACGCCTGCCATGGCACACACGCCAATCTTGGCTTGGGTGATGATACCCAAGTCGATGAGCTTGTCTAGGAGGATCAGACTAACGGGCACGCCCTGCGAGTGGGAGGCCATGATGATCAGGTCGGCCTTGCGAATCTGGTCGATCCAGTTGAGGAGAAGCTTCCACAAGTTCTCCACACGATCGCCGATGCGACCCTCGCCCTCAAGTGCAACCTTTTCGATTTCGCAGTCTGGGCAGCCGTGAGCATCTGCCCATCGTCGAATGCCGTCGGCGCAAAGGCTGGCAAACCGCAGCGAGGTGCCAGTAGGTTGTCCCATCATAGGCCGGAGGTAAGTGGCAGGGAAGAGGCCGTGAACTCCAATAGCCAAAGCACGCTTTATTTTGGGAGGCTCCTGCACGCGGAAGACGTGGTTGGCGGGTGGCTGCGACGTGCGTAGAAGAAAGTTGGTGATTTGCTTTAATATGGAAGGATTGTCTTTCATCTGATATGTGCTGGCAAATGACGGCAGCAGCAGGTTCGGCGATTGCTTGGCTGAGGTTTCGCTTTCTGCTGCCGACTTGGATGAGATCTCTGTCTTGGTGGTGGATTTGCGACTCTCTGCATCAGATTGATCGGCTTTCCCGCTGCTCGGCTCCGGGAGATGAAGCTGACTGCTTGCTGGGGATGGCGGTATGGACTCATCCATAGAAACTGGCCTCGGACGCTTACTCTTACGCCATGTCGATTTCGAGTCTTTAGCTTTGCCTTTGTCTTTATTGTCAGGCTCGGCAGACACGTTGTTCTCCCTCATGGGAAGCGGGTGAGCCTCGGATCCTTCGCCAATGACTGCAATTTCCCCGGCCTCTTGCGCTGAAGGTTTGCCTTTTTGGACCGGTGTAGCTTTTGACCAGAATGCCCATGTCGAGCCAGCTTTTGGTGCTGGTTCTTGGGGTTGGGCTGCCTGCGCCGATGGCGGTGCTGCTGCAGGCGCATCCTCCATGACTACATCGACATCAGTCCCTTGGACATGGTCGGTCGGCTTCTTTTCCGAGTCGTCGGCCATGGCTTGGGGCGTTGGAGTATTCCACAGTCCAAACCACGATGTAGCCGGTTGCCGAGGTTCCGACTGGGCAGTCGGCGAGGTGATGATGATTTGCGCAGGTGGCGTAGATGGCCGAGCAGGCTCAGGCTGCTCAGGCTGCTCCTCCTGGACAGGTTCTACGGCTGCTGCGGGTGTCCTCGTGAGCCAACCCAGCCAGCCAGGTTGGGGTTTTGTGGGTGTCGCGGGCGGGATCTCTTGTGGAGGGTTGGTCGGCTCCGGCTCCGGCTCCGGCTTGGCAACGTCGCTGCTCGTTCCGTTTGGATTTGGAGTAGATTTATTATCGTCAACCTTTGCGGAGGATGTTATGACTTCGTTTTGTTTAGCTGCCGCTGCTTCCTGTACTAGCTCACTGTTTGGCGGGTTCGAGTCGGTCTGGGACATGGAGGCCTTTGCCTGGTCTGAGGCTGCCGCGGATTCGCCCAGCTTGCTGCGGATGCTGGCGGTGTCGTCGACGCTCCTCGACTCGAAGCGTGTCAGGTCGGCCTTTCTGGAGCGAAATGTGTCGCCGTGGATATTTTCTTTGGCTATCGAGATGGACGCTGCGGCTTTGGGTGGCCGCGGCCAGGATCCGTACCAGCTCTGAGATTTGCGAACCTATGTGGTGTAAGATAGGAGAGGGCGCTTGTCTGGAGGGTTGGATAGAACCGACTGTTTTTTGAGGCAAGAGATGAGATACGCTCTCTTGCGAATCGTTATTAGCCGGGAGATGTCGGGGCATGGGTCGGCTAGAGGGTGATGCGTCTTCCGAGGCGACAGCAGCGTGGGCGGGCCGTGGGCGACTATCTTGTGATTGCGTGGCGGAGGGCTGCTTTGCTGTGACGTCGTCGGGGTTTGGGCGGTGCCTTTTTCGCGGAGCCATGGTGAAGGCTACCGCATGGCCCGCAAGATTGAGATAAAAGTTAAATGGGATATATCTTGTAGAATCAAAACACGATCGAGAGTTGGCCGAGACGCCGCGTCTGGTGCAGGTGATTGTATTGTTGAGCGGGCAAACCATTGGCATGCAAGCCTATTGTCATCCGTGCCTGGCTGAAGTGCTGGAGGTGCTGAAGATGCACTGTAAAGTGGTGGGTGACGCCGTTTTAGCGGCCCCGCTTTGACGGTAAGTCACTGATCAGCAAGGCTGCAGCCACTCGCCATTGATCTGGCCAAGCCGCGTGGACTCGTGGTGAATTCCATACCTTTCGTTGGCTTGATTGATGACGGTGGCCAAGTTGTAATTCACATGTTTTCATGAGAGTTGGTAGCAAGAGACTCGACTTGTGGCAGTCTGGTGGCATGATGCGGGCGACTGCAGGCTCAACGAGCTCTGGCAAGACAGCACGAATACATTAATCTCTGCACGGCACGTGTATAAATTCAATGAAGTTCAGGTGGTATTGTTTTTTTTTTTTTTTTTTTTTGGTCACACTGTCTGCTTTGCCTCTGGTCATGCGTCAGAGCTGACTCAAAACGGCAGCAACGCGCCATACGGCTGATTCATTACTCTTTTGACACATGAACAACCTAACATAAATTCCTACACTTTCAAATCGGTTATTCATCCAAGTTTCCGCTTCATAGCACCTTACAGCTGTGTTCATGGATGCATATTCCCCATTGTAGATGTGATCCGTCTGCCAACGGATCAACCTCGGATCCACCGCAGGTCTTATCGCTTGGCTTATCGGATTCGCGGAAAAAAAAATTCGAGGGACGCAGTTAGCGCATCCACGATCAAGCGTAGGCCATCCAGCAATTGCGCAGACAACTCTGTCTTCGCTCTTGTAAATATCCGCCGCCATGAGCAATCTCAAGCGAAAGGATGCGCCTGGCGGCCATCCCCCTGCCAAATCCGCCAAGCAGTCCAAAGAGGCGAACCCATCCAAGACCGACAAGCCCAAATCCAAGCCCGCAGACGCAACGACAAAGGCTGTCGTCTCAAGACTCAAGGACGAGGAGCCTCTCTTTCCCCGAGGCGGCGCCAGCGTTCTCACTCCTCTCGAGCAGAAGCAGATCCAGTTGGAGGCCAAGGCTGATGCAGCGCGCGAGGAGGAATTTTCTACTGGCGGCAAACCCCAGAAGAAAAAGAAGAGAGCCACCGCTCTGAAAAAATCAGACAAGACCGAGTCCAAGTCTGAGGACGATCCTGTAAAAATCGAGAGTCTCAACTTCAAGGTACTTCTTACATGATGTTCCTTATTAAATTAACTCTGCTAACCCGCGCAGAAACTCGTCACAGGCTCCATCGTTCTCGGTCAAATCACACGCATAAACAGTCTCGCTCTTGAGGTCGCTCTACCCAACAACCTGACCGGTCATGTTTCCATTGTCGCCATATCCGAACAGCTTACAAAACGACTACAAGGCGACGCTCAAGACGAAGAAGACGACAAAAAGGATGGCGACTCCGACGAAGAAGGCGAGGACGTCGACCTAAAATCCCTGTTCGAGGTTGGCCAATTTGTTCGTGCCTACGTCGTATCTACAGTCGAAGGCGCCGCCGTCTCCGGAAAAGGGAAGCGAAAAATCGAGCTCTCTCTTCGCCCTACCGAAGCTAATACCGGCCTCACCAAGGACGATGTCGTGCCCCAGTGCACCGTCGCCGCCGCCGTTATCAGCGTCGAAGACCACGGGTGCATCATGGATCTTGGAATCGACGGACTCAGCGGCTTCCTTCCCAATGCCGAAATCGATGCCACATTTAACCGCCAACGCATACAAGAAGGCGCAGTATTCCTCTCCCAGGTTACCGCCAAAAAGGGCAGCGGCAAGGTCGCGCAGCTTACCCTCAAGCGGGACAAAATCGGCAACGTCAACAATCACCCTGCCGATGCTACAACCATTAACACATTCCTCCCCGGAACTGCTGTGACTGTCCTTGTCACGGGCAACAGCAGCAGAGGTGTCACTGGCAAGATTATGGGACATGTTGATGCCACGGCAGATCTTATTCATTCTGGAATTGGCCCCTTCGGTACCGACGTCGAAGCGAAATACAAAATCGGCTCCAAGCTCAAGGCCAGAATTATATGCAACTTTCCCACAGCAAAGGATCCCAAGTTGGGGATCACGCTGCTCCCGCACTTGACCGCTCTCACCAAGAAGCGCCCCGAGGGTCCCAAGCGTTCCAGCCTCCCACTACAAGTCCTTCCTATTGCTTCAACCATTGAACAGTGCACCGTACGTCATGTTGAAGCTGATATGGGCTTGTTTGTTGATCTCGGTGTCGCTGGCCTCTGCGGCTACGTCCACATTTCTCGGGTCAAGGATGGCAAGGTCGATGCCCTCTACGAGTCCAGTGGTCCTTACAAGGTTGGCTCAACACACAAGGGTCGCGTTGTTGGCTATAACGAAATGGACGGTGTTTTCCATATCTCATTCCAGAGGTCCGTCCTCGAACAAACCTATATCCGGCACGAAGACGTGCCTGTCGGCACCGTTTTGACTTGCGACATTGAAAAGCTGGTCATCAACGAAGATGGTGTCAACGGCCTTGTCCTTACCATCGCTAATGGTATCACTGGTTTTGTTCCTGAACGCCATCTTTCCGACATCAAACTGCAGCATCCAGAGAAGAAGTTCCGCCAAGGCATGAAGATTAAAGCCCGCGTGCTAAGCAATAACTTGGTCAAAAAGGCAATCCGTCTCACGCTCAAGAAGACCCTCGTCAACTCCGAAACTCCGATCATCGCAAAATACGACGATGTCAAGGTCGGCAGCCAAGCACTTGGCACCATCATTAAGCTAGAAAGAAACGGCGCCCGAATCCAGTTCTACGGCGAGCTACGTGGATTCCTGCCCATTTCCGAAATGAGCGAGGCTTATATTCGCGACCCCTCAGAGCACTTCCGCGTTGGACAAGTTGTCAGTGTCCATGTACTTGACGTCGACCCTGAGCAGAAGCGCTTGGTTGTGTCTTGTAAAGATCCTGGTGCATTTGGCCTCGAAAAGCAAACTGCACTCAAGAATTTGTCGCTCGGGGACATTGTCTCTGCCAAAGTAACGCAGAAGTCAGAGGATCAAGTCTTTGTCGAGCTTGAAGGCAGCCTCCTCAAGGCTATCCTCCCCGTCAGTCATCTTACCGACAAGTCTGCATCCAAGAACCAATTTGCTCTCAAGAAGGTGTCTGCCGGCCAGACTCTGTCCAACCTCGTCGTTATTGACAAGAACGACAGCCGCCGTTCCATTATCCTCACGCAAAAGCCCAGCCTGGTCAAGGCCGCTGCCGCAGGAAAGCTGCTCAAGTCTTTCGAGCAGGCCAAGACAGGCAAGGTGTTTGCTGGTTTTGTCAGAAATATTACGCCCACTGCAGTTTTCGTCCAATTTGCAGGCTCGCTTCACGCGCTTCTCCCGAAGGCACGTCTCGCGCCAGAGGCCCAAAGCCAACCCGATTTCGGTCTGCACAAGAACGACTCCATCGAAGTCCGTGTCGTGTCAACAATTCCTGAGCTCACCCGCATTATGGTCGCACCATCGTCGGCACCGGCCGATCAGGACGTTTCGGGCAAGAGTGAAGCGGCCAAGGCTGTTCCCGCTGATGGACTCGCTTTTGGCTCCATCACCAAGGCCAAGATTACTTCCGTCAAAGAAACACAACTGAATGTCCAGATTGTCGGTTCCGAAGTGCAGGGTCGCATTGATGTTTCCAACGTTTTTGGCCGCTGGGATGACATTGCTGACCCCAAGCATCCTCTCGCCCCCTTCCACAAAGGCCAGGTACTACGCGTCAAGGTTATCGGCGTGCATGATGCAAAGGATCACCGTTTCTTGCCTATTTCTCACAGATCCGCCCATTCCATCCTGGAGCTTACTACACGTCGAAGTGACCTAGACGCCACAACACCCAACGAACTCACATTCGACTCTCTGAAGGTTGGACAGACCCATATTGCCTTTGTTAACAATATTGCACAACAACATCTCTGGGTTAATTTGTCTCCCTCTATTCGAGGCCGAATCTCTGCCATGGAAGCCTCCGATGATGTGTCTCAGCTGAACGATTTGGGAGGCAACTTTCCTCCTGGCTCTGCTCTCAAGGCCCGCATCACATCTATCAACACCGAGAACAACCACCTTGACCTGTCTGCCCGCTCTGCATCGTCTAAGGACATTGTTACCTGGGATTCCATTAAAGTCAACATGGTTCTTCCAGGAAAGATTACCAAGGTCAATGAGAGGCAGATCCTTGTCAAGCTTAGCGAGTCGGTCTCTGGGCCCGTCCACCTGCCTGACATGGCCGACAACTTTGACGAGGTCAACACTACCCAGTACCGCAAGGGTGCTATCGTCCGAGTCGCTGTAGTTGGTGTTGACAAGAGCAACAAGAGACTGCGCCTTTCTACTAGACCATCCCGCATCATGAGCTCCACCCTACCCGTCAAAGATAAGGAAATCAGCGATATTGCCGAACTTTCCGCTGGCAATATTGTCAGAGGATTCGTCAAGAATGTTGCAGACAAGGGACTTTTTGTTCTATTGGGCGGTCAGGTATCTGCGCTGGTCAAGATTTCGAACCTTTCGGATCGGTACTTGAAGGAGTGGAAAGATCAGTTTCAGGTCGACCAGGTGGTCAAGGGTCGCATCATCTCGATTGACAATGCTACCAAGCAAATGGAATTGAGTCTCAAGTCGTCTGTCGTCGACGAAGACTACACACCACCTATTATGTACAAGGACATTTCCGTGGGCCAGGTTGTAACTGGCAAGGTCCGCAAGGTCGAGGAGTTTGGCGCTTTCATCCTCGTCGATAACTCGGCTAATGTTAGCGGTCTTTGCCATCGCAGTCAGATGGCCGAAAACCCTGTGGGGGATGCAACCAAGCTCTATAAGGAAGGTGATGTTGTCAAGGCCAAGGTCCTGGAGGTGGATGTTGGGAAGCGCAGAATCAGCTTTGGCCTGAAGCCCAGCCTGTTTGAGGATGAGGATACGGATATGGACTCTGGTTCTGAGCAAGGCGCTGCTCTTGACGACGACAGCGACGATGAGTTGGACCAGGGCGCTCTTCTGAAGCTCATTCAGGCTCAGGCTGATGATAACGAAGATGACGACGAGGATGAGAGTGAAGATGACGGCGATGATGATGATGAAGCCGACGACGACGAAGACTCTGAGATGGAGGATGCTCCCAGTGGCGCTGGCCTGGGTGGTGGCAAATCTGCCTGGACGGCGGATCCTTTCGCCGAATCAGGATCTGAATCTGAGGGCGAAGAGCCCATTAAGAAAGCCGACAAGACCAAGAAACGCAAGAAGAACGAGATTGAAGTCGACAAGACCGCCGAACTCGATACCAATGGCCCTCAGACCTCAAGCGACTACGAGCGTCTACTCCTGGGCCAGCTTGACTCCTCGGAACTGTGGATTGCCTACATGGCCTTCCAGATGCAAGTGAGCGAGCTGCCCAAGGCGCGCGAGGTGGCCGAGCGTGCGATCCGGACCATCAACATCCGCGAGGAGACGGAAAAGCTCAACGTTTGGGTCGCGTACCTCAACCTGGAGGTGGCGTACGGAACCAAGGCGACGGTCGAGGAGGTCTTCAAGCGAGCGTGCCAGTACAACGACCCGCAAGAGGTGCACGAGCGACTAGCTAGCATCTACATCCAGTCAGACAAGGCCAAGGAGGCCGAAGTGCTGTTCGAGGCCATGGTCAAGAAGTTTGGCGCCAAGGCGCCGAGCGTGTGGACCAACTACGCACACTTCCTACACGCCACGCGCGGGGAGCCGGAGCGCGCACGCGCGCTGCTGCCGCGGGCCACGCAGCAGCTCGGCTCGGCGCGCACGGCGACCGTCATGTCGCGGTTCGCCGCGCTCGAGTTCCACTCTGCGCACGGCGAGCCGGAGCGTGGCCGCACCATGTTCGCGGGCCTGCTCGACACGTGGCCGAAGAAGGGCGACCTGTGGAACCAGCTGCTGGACCTGGAGATGGGCGTCGTCGAGGGCGGCAGCGGCGGCGGTGACCGGACGGCGGTGCGGGACGTGTTCGAGCGGAGGACGCGCGTCCGCGGTCTCAAGCCGCAGCAGGCTGAGAAGTGGTTCCGCCGGTGGACGGCGTTTGAGGAGGCGGCGGATCCCAAGGGCGGCAAGGCCAAGGTTACGGCCAAGGCGCACGAGTGGGCAGCGGCGTTCAAGGCGCGCAAGGAGGCGGCGGCGGCGGCGGCGGCGGAGGATGAGGAGATGGAGGAGTAGAGGGGGGAGACATACACTGATGTACATGAAAATGGTTTTTTTGTTGGTTTCAACTCTTTTTGCATTGTTGTTTCATATATGTTCTTCATGGGTAGGAAAAGTGCGCCTCTTAATGAGCTTGAATATTACTACATGACTATATTTGCGTTGCGTTCATCTTGTTGCGCCTTGGTGTCATCGTAGTGGTTCGTCCCTGGATGAAGTAGGAAAGTCGAGGACGTTAGCGCGCTGAACAATGGTTACAAAATTACGAGGATTTTTTACTGCAAGTTGAATATCGACGTATTCAGATCCAGTCAAGATTTTGTAGTCGTTGATTGATTCCTCTCCTCCACAGCCAGCCAGCACGCTGTCGTGCAGCCGTCTAGGGTAACTGCCCACAGAAGAAGCATCCTGGCTTGGCGGGACATGTGGAGTTGCGACCGGGCCAGCGTCGATTTAGGCCAGAGATTATCTGCGAACTCCTAGATCGAACAGTCTGCAGCAAGATGGAGTCTTGGGACTTGTATCTCTTGCTTGATCTTGATTTGGGAGCTGCACTGTCACTACATGGTGTCTGAAACCGATTGTTATTAGGGTAGGTAGGATGTTCGGCCCATCGCGGACCTCGGCGCACGTGTAAGAGAATGAATAGAGTTTTGGCAAGATACGGCTGGGTTGGGCGGAAATCTACTTTCCGCCATGTGGTCGGATCTCATGTTTCACAGAGTAATGCTCCCCCTTTGACGATTTATTATTAAGCTGTTATCGTTCAACCGGAGCCACATCTGTCGGGCGTTTGGGGGTGGCTCCATCTTTGGTAGCACACGATCACGGGCGACGGATGGGTAGGCAGGTCGATACAGCTCTTAGAAGTTTATCTTTGTCCTGCGGGCCATCGTCAAGCTGTCGCTGAAGTCTATAACTAGACACAGTATCGTTAACCTGTGTCGTCCGGCTCTTGACCTACACGGGTCTGGCTGACTATCGTGATATCCCAGAAATGCATTCTTCTCATCTGAGACACGAGGCCGGAAAGATCGGGCGACCGCCCCGTCAGCAATGGACTGTCGGGAGTTGACTGGCTTGGCCGAGGCGGCCGGAGTCTTGGGCGGGATTGTCGCAAGTATGGTTGGTGGTCCTGGGGGCGCACGCCATCGGGACGCCGTTGACACACGATTGATAATTGACTGAGCTCATTAGCACGGCATATGGCGTCTGCAAGTCGTGTTCCGGTCCGTCGATCACGTCGTCGTAGCGATTTGGCCCTTTGCGCCTTTGCAAGACGCGAGCACGTCACCGACAGCAGGTCTAGCGTAGTGGATCGGACCCTCGGTCCCGCTGGCGCCGGCGCTCCGTGAGTGGCTGGAATTTGCAACGGGCTGGTTCAGAGGGAAAAGTTACAGGGCTCAAGACCGCTGGAGAAGGTGAAGATGGAAAGTGAATTTATAGTGCACTTTGCACCTGTAAACCGTCCACACGTCCACCGTCAGCCCGCTGTAAATCCCGGCCTTACGCACTGCAATGTTGCAACTTTGTCGATACCGTCAGTCGCCCAGAGCAGCTGCCAATCTGGGCGGGCCGAAAAGGCTGTTTGGCATCTCGAACCCCAGACCATCTTTTACTTTTCATTTTTCCATCTTGCATCGTGAATATCGTCCTATCTAGTTTTACTTCGCGCCGCACCCTGGCCGGTCATCATGGGCTGTCGAGTCTGTCGCGCGCGCAAGGTAAGCAGGCTTCTGCAAACAGACACCACCTACCGGCACCCACAGTAACCACGATAACCTACATCAACAACAACATACTAATCGTTCGTTCTCGTCTTCGCCCACCAAACAGGTCAAGTGCGATGGCCGCCCCAACGGCTGCCGCAACTGCGAGCGCCTTCAGCTAGACTGCGTCGCCGACGACGGCACGCCCGCCGCCGCGGCCGTCGTCAAGCGCGCCTCGTCGGCGGCGGCCTCGGCTGTCGCTCTCAAGAAGATCCGCACGTACCGCTCCTGCAACGCCTGCCGCCTCTCCAAGACCAAGTGCGACGGCGACCGCCCCAAGTGCGGACGCTGCATCGCCAAGACGGTCGAGTGCGTCTACGACGGCGGCGCCGCCCCGCGCTGGACGCGCAACCTCGACCGCCCCTCGCTTGCTGGCGGCGCAGATGCTGTGAATGCTGACGGCAGCGGCGGCGGCGGCGGCGGCCTGCTGCCCACCGTCGAAAAGGAGCGTTCCGCGTTCCTCGCTGGTGAGAGGCGCATGCCGCCGCGTCAGGATGACACGCCCGCCCACTCTGACACCGGAGGGGAGGGATCGCAGAGCGGCCAGGAGGGAAAGTCGACTGTATCAATCCCAGAAGGGCAGTCTTGGTATGCCTCTCTGTTTTGCCGTCGATATCTTACCAGGAAATCAACTAACTTGACATAGGCTTGTCTCTCCCAAACTCCCCAGCGGCCGCAATCTGCGTCGCGTTGTTGAGCAGTACTTTGCAAATATACATCCCCTGCGGTGCTTTGCCTTTGTCCACAAGCCCACGTTTATGCGGCAGCTCGATAATGGTCTGACCACGGACGACGAGTCTGCGCTGTTACACATTGTCTGCGCCCACGGGGCCAAGTAAGCGTTCCGGCTCAGAATGTATTGCTGAGATGGTAACATGTTCCAGATTCCACGCTCTGAGCGTCGTTGGCAATCACGCAACCAAAACCAGCTTAATCTCGGCTGCTGGAAAACACTGGGCCAAGCGTGCCGAGTATCTGCTGCTCGCCAACAACTTTGGCATAATTTCTGTGCAGCGTCTAATGGTGAGCATCATCATGAAGAAAGAAAAATCTTGTAATCATACTAAACCGGGCAGACCGTCATTTTACTACACGAATATCACTTCCGCCAGGGCGAATACTCCCAAGCCCTGATGATGAGCGGGCTGGCTGTGCGCATGGCCCACGCCCTCAAAATTAATTCGGAGCATTCCCCCGACATCATGTGTTCCGATGCCACTGAGGCTGCCCCATCTGTGGTCTCTCGCGAGAGTCGCCGTCGACTCATGTGGGCATGCTACATCCTCGATGCCTGGGCGGGCAGCGGGATCGATCAATTGACCTTGCTGCGTGAGAATGACATCAAGATTCAGCTGCCCTGCAACGAGAGAAACTTTGGTCTCCGGATTGCGTCCGTCACCGAAACCCTCGGAGTCGGCCATGTGCTGCAGTTTCTGCCTCCGTCGGTGGTGCCGCGCCGACCAGCCGAGAACATGGGCATAATGGCCTACTACATCCGCATCGTGACTCTCTGGAAGAAGATTGTTCGGTATGTGTAGCTGGTCAGATGAGAAAGGGCATACTTGCTAACCTCAAGTGTCTAGATACGTCAACAGGCTGGATTCGCGCCTCGATGTTAGCCCACCGCCCTGGCAGCCCGACTCTGATTTTGCTGCTCTGGATGCCGATTTACGGCTGTGGCGCAGGGAACTTCCCGATTTTGTCGAGTATTCGGCTGAGACGATTTATGCGCGTCTGGACTCCAACCAACTCGGCGCGCTCGTTCTCATCCATTGCACCTATCACCACAATTACTTGGAGCTGTACAAGCTCTCCATGCCCGATCTGTTCAAGCTCTCCAAGCCCTTGTCGATCCCACCAGAGCACCAGGATTTCTTCCATGCAGCGCAGGCCGACTGCTATCACCATGCCCAGCAGATTGCCGACATACTGGCCGAGGCGGCCGACCACGGTGTCAGACTGCTCTCGGACAGTCTGCTACCGTACTTTGTCTACGACAGCAGTAGGGTGATGCTCTACTACGTGGCACGCCTGCTCGACCCTCATAGGCTCGACGCGCAAGACAAGGTGCGCGATGCAATCAACGCAGTGGAGAGCAATAATCGCGTGCTGCGGATGATGGTAGCGCTGTTCCCGATTGCGCAATTACTGGTACGTGCCCCGACGTTTGACTCAGGTGAATCACTTTGAATTAACAAGCGCCAGTCCACCACAATCGAGAGATGGCTGTTTAAGCTGAAACAGGCGACAAACAGGGAGGATCTCGTGAGCAGACTGCAGTCGGAAACGCGCATCGACATTCCCGGCGCTGTATTGTGAGTGAGCTGAAAAAATGGCGCAATGAGAGAGCACACCACTAATCAGGTTCACCGCAAGGCCCAACAGCCCTCCCAGCAGCCCGCAAGACAACAGCGACCTTACGCTGCCGTCCATCTCGCTGCACTCGCTCGCGGCGCGCCCCGACCTCGTCGGTGCCCGGCGTGCCGCCGCCGCCCCCGAGCGACCGCCGGTGTCCGCGCCGGGCCTGAGCTGGAGCGTGCCGACGGCGTCGCCCGCCAGCTCCGCGTCGTGGGACCACATGAACGCGGCGCACGGGCTCGCGGGCCTGAGCAGCCAGGACGCGGCGGCGGTGCCACGGTCGGGGCTGCAGCACGAGCGCCCCGTGGCGATGCCTGCACCACCCCCGCGACGATCCGCGCCCACGGCGCCGATGTACGAGGCGCTTGACCTCGACGACCTGCAGAACTTTTTGTCCTGGGACATGTACGGCGTCCGCGAGATGGGAGACCCTATTACGGACGACGGTGCGGACGACTTGGGGATGCAGGCGTGGGCTGGCGCCATCTAATTTTGCTGGCTAATGTCGTGCTCCCATGTAAGACAGATGGCGACGATGGGCCGGCCGATGGCACCATTTTCGCGGGTGGAGCCCGACTAGCCGAGCGAGGGCGGACCCTCGCGCGGGTCGTCGCTTATAACGAAGTGAACGTATTTCATGATGGATGGTTGTTTTGTTTTGAAGGTGAAGATATAAGTCTTGGAAAGAATGTGGTTGGGTTATGTGATGTGTGACGTCCGAGGAGATGCTGCCGCAGGTGGTGGCAGAGGTGGTGGTATATCAACGTCGACCAGAGGGTGCAGTGGGCATTATATGCGACAATACGTCGCATTTCTGGCCGAGTTGTAAAGGGGAGCGTACTTGAATGTTTCTTTTTTTCCGTCTAGTTACTGTTCGTTCGAGTTTTCTTGTCGAGTTCCAAGTCAATCGTGGTGGTCACCATTCGGGTATACAGAACATGGGCTTAGGCGAGTGCAATACATATCGCTAGATTGCTGCTTTGAAAAATCATAACTCGGGAATTGACTACTATAACTGCCTAAGATCTCTGATTTTCTTTTCTGTACCTATGTTTATCAAAGATCCTGATATCACCGTCCGTGGTCGTTGTAAGTTGCACCAGTACGAGTACTGATTGGTGGGGTCTGACAGCAGCCCCGCAAAAACCTTTTCATTACCAAGCTCGAACTTTTTTTTCACCATCTTCAACCTCGACCATCATCGCCCTCCAAAACCCCACGAAGCCTTCATACTCACCCGACAAACTCGACGAACAAACAAAAACCGACACCATGGCCCAGGGAACCATCAAAATCTCTGGCAAGCCCAAGGCCGCCAAAGCAGTGCACTCGAAGCGCCAGGCCTCCAAGATCACAAAGGCCGGCAGCAAGCAGTCCAAGGACAAGCTCAACAAGAAGTTCACCTCGGGCCTGACGGCCAAGACGGAGGCGCTGCTCGGCGAGCGCGCAGGACATTTGGAGCTCATCGGCAAGGGGAAGAAGGGCAAGAAGCTGACGCAAAAAGGCGGTTCCAAGAAGTTCGGCTAGCCGCATGGCGCTTCACCGTATTTTTTTTTTGCGAGGCATCAGCATGGCGTTTTTGGGCATCTTCTTTTTCATTGTGACGACTACACGTTTTTTCTTCTTCATTTACCCGTGGACACGACGTTTTTCTTGTATCCGACAACTTCCTCTCATTACGCTCCAACACCCCAACCGACTTTTTCCTTGCTCAGTACTCTGCAATATCAAACTCCCTGCCCTCCGCGATGCACGTCAAGACCCCCCGAACGACCGCCGCGTCCCTCTCGACATCAACACGCCAGTTGGACACGGCGATGCGCACCGCCGGGCGCCCCTGCCACACGGTACCGCTGACGTACAGCTGCCGGGTGTCGTTGATGCGAGCCACGAGCGTCTCGTTGAGCGCTGCGTCCCTGGCGCGGAACAGCACCGAGATGAAAATGTCCTCCTCGGCGGCGTTCCCCTCCGGCAGCAGCTGGTAGTGCGGCGAGTCGCGCAGGAACGAGGCGACGGCGCGGGAGAGCCGCGTCATGCTGGCGAGCAGCGCGGCGAGGCCGGGCCGCCCCTCGGACAGAAGCACGGCGTACACGGGCAGCGCACGGAAGCGGCGCGAGTTCTCGAGGCCGATGTTGAGGGGGGACGGGATGGTAGAGGCGGAGGAGGAGGAGAGGTAGGAGGCGTTGGGGTTGGTGAAGACGGCCTGCATGATGGCGGAGGACTTGCAGTAGAACATGCCGCAGTCGTAGGGCTGCCCGATGGGTTAGATGACAAGAAGGAATGGGTACATTGTTCTTAAAGACCTCGGAATACATACCACGTTGAGAAGTTTGTGCCCGTCAATGGTGATGCTGTCGGCGAGGTGAATGCCCTCTGTACGCTCCTGCAAGAGCTTGAACTCGTCCGTCTGTTCCAGCGCGCGCGCAAAGACGCCGAAAGCTGGGTACATGTTAGCACCCCTCGTCACTCCTCTTGATACTCTCCTGTAGCCCCCTTTTCTTCTTCACTCACCTCCGTCAACGTGAATCCAAGCGCCGTACTTGTCCGCCAACTCGCGCAGCCGCCGCCACTCCTCCACGCCGTGCAGCGCGTACCGCCCGGCGTTGACCTCACCGGCGCTCACCGCCACTATCGTCGCCGTCCCCTTCCTCCCTTCCATCGCCGCCTCTACCTTGGCCAAATCCAACCGCCAAGGCTCCTCCTCCTCCCCCTCCCTCCCCATCTCCCGCACCGCCGCGCGACCCAGCCCGACCACGCTCGCGGCCTTGCCCAGCGAGCTATGTCCCATGCTCGTCAGCACCTGCACCTCCACCACGCCCTTCCTCCTCGCCGCCTCCAACACCCCCAACTCCCCGACACTCCCTCCTCCCAGAACGTGCTCCCTCCCGCACGCCAACCCCAGGACATTGCTCGCCGTCGCCCCCGTCGTCACCGTCCTCCCCTCCCACTCCCCTCCCAGCCGCAGCGCGCGCGCCAGCATCTCCAGCGCCGCGTCCTCGACGGCCGTCGCGACCGTCTGCGAAGGCAGGTGCACCTGCACGTTCTGGTCGAGCGCGGTGACGACGTTGTCGGCCCACTGCGCGAGCGGCAGCGCGCCGCCGGTGACGAAGCCGAAATACCGCGGCGAGGCGTTCTGGCCGGTCAGCGCGGGGACGACGTCGCGCGCAATGTGCGTGGCGACGGCGGCGGCGGGCGCGCCGGCGAGGTAGGTGGGGGAGGAGGGCGAGGGAAGGGAGGCCTCGGCGGCGCGGAGGGCGGCGGCGGAGGGGAGCGTGGGCGGCGGGGAGGAGGAGGAGGAGGAAGAGGAGGCGGCGGGCTGGGGGGGGTGGCGCTGGGAGAAGCGCGCCTCCTGAGCGGCAATGTCGAACAGCCAGCTATCCATGATGTTTTTTTGTCTCTTTGCCTCGGGGCGTGGTGTTGTAGGAAGTTGCAAGGGGCAAGAAGAGACGGACAAGGACTGCGATGTTTATTTGAGGCCAGCTGAACCGACTTGCGCCTTACGGCTTACATGGAGGGTCCCGGAGGACTCCACCGCGGAACGCCGGCCGGCCGACGCACTAGACCGGCTAGGCAAAAATGTTGGTATGGCATACGAAGACGACGACCCGATAGTGTAGCAATGCAATTTCTAGTTGCTGGCATAAGTCACTGGTGCACTCCGCTCCGTCCTGGGCCAGAAATGGATGTTGGTCGGAGAGCTTCAATCATGGTCTTGCTACCACCATGGATGAACTGCGTTAATAACCTCTCTTCAAAGCAGTACTGACTTCTCTGGATTTCTATACGCTCTATCAGATCAGGGTCTTATGGCAAAGTCAAGAGTGACTGCTGTTCATAGTCATCCTATTCGTCGGCTGGCCCGGTGATCTCGGCCTCCTCTACCGACCCAACATTTCTTGTCTAAAAAAACTGAAGAATGTCTAAGCGATTATCCCTCTTTGCTCACCGAACCTAAGCTCTTTCTCGTGACCACCGACAAGCAGGCGTGGAATGCAGAATTGCGGCGTCCCCATCCAATCCTCCAGCTTCTTAATTGATAGCGAATATAGCCAATCAGTTTGATGCACTCCAACATTTGGCACCCGGAAAATGCAAGTAGCTGTGAGTAAGCTAAAACAAAATGATCGGAGGTCGTCTCTGCAAAGCAGCGTATATGCTGAGCAATATCATCGAGGTTCTTACTGTTCTGTCGCTACTTGGGCTCGATCGTGTGTAGGCTGCTCAGATGGACATGATTTAGCAGCTCGGTAACACTTCGCAAATGTCAGTCCATGGCATCTAGTTTCACACAGACCATGCTCACTGGTGAAATATCTCCGTGGCAGTTGAGTTGTTGCCCGCTCTAGGGCTTAGTTGCTAGTTGACTGCTGACAATGTTGATTCCGTGATGGACGGCGGTCGATACTCGATGGGACGAGCCTAGGTAGAACTAAACCAAGGGACTCGCTTGCAGGTCGTTTGTTGGGCCTCCATCACAAGCGTAACAGAAGGATGCAAAGCTGCAGTTGGGCAAGTCAAAATTCGTTTGGCTGACGTGCCCACGCCTTTGGCCACCAGTACACGTCAACAACCTGCGGCACGCCCCCGAGTGGCGCAAAGTCAACCATTCCCATCGTCGTCGTCGTCGTCGTCGTCGTCGCCGTCGTCGTCGGCTGACACGCCGGCCAGAACCACTGCACATCCAAGCCCCCAGCCGCACCCATCGCCGCTGCCACATCATCATCCAGCGGCGGCGGCGGCGGCGGCGGCGGCGGCGGATCGTCCGGCGGCGTCCTCGGCCCTCGCACCGTCGTCGACGGCGACGCGCTCTCCTCATCTCTCCGCCGCTGTTCCTCCACGCTCCCCCGAATCGTCGACAGTATCGTCTCCGCATCGGCCTCGTCCTTTAGCCGCCCAACCACGCGCACCAGCTCCGCGGCGCGCAGCTGCCCTAGCATCCGCAGCACGCCCGGCACCGCCGACGAGGACCGACCGCCCTCGCGCGCGGCGTCGCGGTACGTGCAGGGGACGAGCTTGGTCGCGCAAGAGGAGCATGCGGGTTTCTGGCCGTCGCACTGCAATCTCCGTGTCAGGACTTTTGGCCAGCAACCTGTTTTGTCGTAGGGGTGAGGGAGCCTTGGGTAGGCAGGTATGTACCCTGATCTTCTTCAGACGACAGTGATGGCAGGCGATGACGGTCACTCGTCGTCTCTTGACCGTGGGAGACTCGAGGATGCGTTCCTGCCCGCGTGTCGTCGCCTTGGGCTGCAGCGGCCGCGACGGCTGGTGTGTACTGCTGCTGCTGCTGTCCTGCATGCTTAAATTTCGTAGCCCTGTTTGTGTGTGTGTGCGTGTGTGTGTGTGTGTGTGGGAGGAGGAGGAGGAGGAGGAGGAGGAGGAGGAGGAGGGGGGTGGTCGAGACGGAACTGCTGAATCTGGCCTTTGATGAAGCTTGACCTCGCATCTATCGTCTTTCATACATGATACGATAGTTAAACTGGTAGAAGGGAATGGCTTGGCCCCCCCCTCCGCTCCATTCCTCCTCGCTGCAACGGGTGAAGGGTGGGTGTGCGCCTGCAGTGAGCCAGCCCTGACCTGCAGTCCCTCCTCCGATCCTCCAATGGGAGACTCGGGCTTTGACGGAGGTTGGTCCGGACCCTTCTCAGCCAATAATATCATTCCAACTCATCGGAAGTCAACTTTGCTGGTCCGGGGCAGCTTCGTTTGTTCCATTTACGACTGGGGGAGATGCTCCAGGCTGAACCCCCCTGCCACTCGGCACACTCTGGCGCACTACGCGGCTCCGGCAGAAAATATTTCTTCGTATTTATTCTTATTCATTCCATGTATTTTCTTTTTCCTCTTTTGAGGCTGCTGCCGGCTGAGAAATCATCTGCCGCGCTGGCTATTAACCCAGAAATCCGAGGCCATCACCTTTGTGGGCCGTACGAACCTGCTGCGCCCGCAAACATTCATCTTCATCGACCGACGTTTTGATCCGAGGATACGGACCAAGTTAGTTTATATTAAGGTTACCGTTGAGACCTTTTGCCTGTATCCTGGTTAACGATCCTTTATTACTAGTGCTGATGTTGGCCTCTTGCGTGCATGGCCACAGCTTGTGGTATGGGATGTACCAGAAAGAGGCTGCTAATTAGCCCATTTATCAGGACCAGTTCTCAGCAATCGTACATTTGGCACACCGCCATGTGGCATTATAGTCCTCCTCTTCCTAAACCCTGATACGGTTGCTGGTGGGGGGCGTCGGAGCAAGTACTCCTCCTGTCTCAGCCAAGCAAGCACAGCATTTTGTTAACCTGAACCGTGAAGATGCAGTCGACGTTCTTTGCATTGAGAGTTACCCTTCTCCAAGCGTCATTTGACCGCCTCAAATCACCGCCTCTTCAAACTGCAGACGGAATCGGCTCATCGAAGCACTCCTCCCATCCCGTCCTGCCCGAACCCCAAAACACCCTGAGCTTCTCCAGCGCTGTGATGGACGAGTTGGACACGTCCGGCATCCTCCAAATCGACATCAAGCACGAGTACACAAACACACGATCCGCCTCCAACTTTCCATCCGCAACGGCCACGCCCACCACCGTCAGGGGCCACGCCAGCCACGGCTTCCGCTTCTCCCTGACCGTCACCCAGCCCTCGCGCAGCATCCGCAGCAGCTCGTCGCCGTGTCGCCGCCTCAGAATCTTATACAAATCATCGTCGCTGGCGTCAGCCAGATATGAGCGCCACACATCCGCCGACTCTGCCCAAGATCCGACCGCCTGGGCTGGCAGTGTCAGGATGCCGTAGAGTCGAATAGCGACCGCGTATATCGGCGCTATGCCGCGCGCTTTCTCCTGCACCTCCTCGCTCTGATCCGCAAACTTCTCCCCAGCCCATGCCTCGAGGTCGAAGCGCCATAGGGTGTCAAAGATTTCGCACACCTGGAGCGCCAGGCCGGCATCGTCCGGGCTCATCCGGCCGCGGGCCAGGGCGACGCGCAGCCGCGTGATGCGCACCCTCGCGAGGTGGAACTCGACCGGGCACGGCTCGACTTTGCTTGGGTCAAAGCCGATCAGCGTCCGTATCTCGTCGTCGGTGAAGTCGTCCGAGCCCTTGATCTGCTGGTCCGCCGGGCAGTGCGTGTTAATTTGCATCGTGAATCTGGCGCCCAGGTCCGTTAGCCGTCTCTTCACCCACGTCCAAGCAGCAATCTTGTGCGACAACAGAGGAAAAAACGTACGCCAATATGGGGGATAGCCGCGACTTCTCTGGCTTCGGTAGCGCCATGATGCGCGTCGCGCCGCCGCGGTGCGCCACGTACGCCAGGAACCCACGCAGGTGCGCCGCCCACAGCGCCAGCGCGACCTTGAGGTCCGAGATGAGCAGCTGTAGGATAGCCAGCGTCGCCGGCGCGCCGTCGTGCGCATGTTGCGCGTCTTCACGCAGCAGCCGATTCACCGCGCTGATGTTGTCCAACACGCTGCGGTGGTAGCCCGCCCACGACGCCTCGAACGCCGGGTCCTCGCCGGGCCGCAGCGCCCGCCCGCGCGCTTTAGACGCCCGCTCCAACTGGTCGCTGACCACGTTGGCGTATAGCATGTGTCGTGGGAAGTTTGGGTCCTTGAGGTCACTCGGCTTCAGCCTGCGCGCCTCCGGTGAGAGACTCGGCTCGACGACTTCGAAAACTGCTCCCTCCGTCACCACCAGCATCAGTTTCCTTTTTCGGCCGAGTATTGGGACAGGGGCATTGCGCGTCACGTACAGTATCGTACTGTCTCTTGGAATTCCCAGTCCATGGGCTCAATTTCGGGTGACACGCCGCGCGGTCGAAGCCATGCCTTCTTCTTCTGCGCATCGACATCGCGGCGACCGCTGCCATCCCCGGTCGTTGGGGAGGGTTGCGTATATCCCCGACATGTAATGCGACTCACTGTGCAGCGCCTGCAGACCGGTCTCGTCTCGTCACATTTTATACGGCGCGCCCTTTTGGTATGTTCGCCGTTAGGGTGTCTTGGAAAGCAAGACGTAGGAGAAAAATATGTACTCACCGGCATGTGAGACAGCCCGTACGGGCCCGTGGAGCCCACCTCCGCTGTCGGACCTCCCCGGTCTCAGTGCGTCCCAGCGGTGCCTCGGGGCTGCTCGAGCTCCTGTCGTAACCTGTTGCTAGGGGATCCTCAATCACGAATTTCAGCACCATGTTCTTCGCGATGAGACCATCCCAGGCCGAGACGATGGGTGAGGCATTGATGCGGACGAAACTTTCTCTAGCTTGACGGGAAATAAGGGACGCGGCGAGCGGGGAAGCCCGCCCGCTCGGGACGCCGGCAAGGCAGGCTAAAGACGGAGGGGCTGTTGGCAGGTTGCGTTGATTGGGGGCGGCATCGCGGTTCAAGGCTGCGAGGCTGAATTTCAACAAAAAAAGGAGCTGAAAAGTAAAAATCGGGTATACAGCCTGAATATCTGCCCACGCCGGGATTGAGCGGCAACACTTATGGATCCTCTCCGCACATATGGTAAAGCTAGTTACTGGAAGGAATGAAGCCAAGCACAAGGTTGTGGCCAAAAGGCCCGAACACAGAAAATCAACGCAAAAACTTTTGATACTCAAAACCTCGTTTACAAAAGTGCGAGAATGGATCGACCCTTTACACAACACAGGCAAGAGGCTGGTCGAAGCAGTCCTCCCACCCGGTCTTTCCCGAACTCCAAAACAGCCGCAGTTTTTTGATCGCCGTGATGAAGCATACCGACGTGTTTGGCAGCTTCCAAATGGACAAGAGAGACATCTCAATAAAGTCTTGGTCCTCCGCAGCGCCGTCGGCAAAGGCTACGCCAGCAACCACCAGCGGCCAGCAGAGCGAGGTGGTGTGCCTAAGGAGGCCCCAGGACTGCCGGGCGAGTGCCAGTAGCTCCTCCCTCTGCCAAATCCGCAGAGTGTTGCACATTGCCACCGCATCATTCATAGCTAAAGACATCGCCGGCGCCGGCTCAGATTCCACTGCCATCATCCAAGCAACGACGGCGGACGGAGGAAGCGTCATGATGCCATATAGGCGGACCGCAACGGCAAAGATGCGTCCGAGGGTGGCCACAACGTTGACCTTGTCTCTGAACTCAGGCTTTGCAGCCCAGTCGTCCGCATTGAAGCGGTCTATCGAGTCAAAGATGTGCCGCACCTTTTCCTCCGTGCTCCTCCGGTTTGGCTTGCTTCCTGCCCGAGCCAGGGCTGCGCGTAACCTAGAGATGTAGACCATGACAACATACAGCTCTGTCGGGCACTGCATGGACATGCTGTAGGCAGACTCAAGGACGGAGATTAGCTGATCATCCGTGCAGTCGTCAAAACCATGAATTTGCTGTTTTGCAGGGCTGGTCGTGTTGACATTGATGGCGATGCTGCGACGCTCAAGAGGATCAGCAAGGCTAGCATTCGAATATGGGTCGTCAAGTAATGCACACAACACAAATCTACTTACGTCAAAACGTGATTCAAGCAGTAGAAGGGAGGCTCAGGCTGATTGAGGACCGCAGCGATGCCTCCTTTCTGTTGGATATATTCAAAGAAGGCTCTGAGATGAGCTTGCCACAGTGATCGCTCAACGTAGAGGTCAAGCACTAGCAGCTGGTCGATGCCGACAAGCACACGCCACGAAGCATTGGGATCTTCATCTAGTATGTGTTCGTTGACAACCCTGATGCTAGAGCTCAAGAGCTGAGAGTAGCGGGCCCAGACGCCCGTGAACGCAGGATATTGACCGGGCGCTAGGAGCGTACCGCGGGCCTTGGACGCCCTAGAGATTTGATCCCCAATCACCTGAGAGATAAACCTGGGGAAACGAAAGGTCTTGGCATGGAAATCTGGACCGCCCCCGCTGCGCACTTCGACATTCCGACCTGGCAAGACCACCTGAGCGTCTAAATTTTCGAGCACGATTAGTTAAGAGCCCAAACGAAGCTTCCAAGACAAGCACAGAACCCATTGACGTACAGTAACGTATGCCCTCTTGCAAATCCCAATCTGGCGGCTCCACCTCAACGTTGATACTATGGCTGTGTACGCTTCCAAAGGGCTCCAATGCGCTCGTCTCGCTGCCAACAGGTGGCGGTGGCGCCGGCGGCGTGTCCGGAGGTGTCTGCAGCGCGCGATGACCACCGGTGGTGATAGCGGTGGTGGTGGCGGCGGTGGTGGTCTTGACCGCACTCTTCTGCGGCTTGCCCTTTTCCGATGTCGGGTTGTCGTATCCGCGACAGATAATGCGGCTCGAGATGCAACGCCGGCAGACCGGCTTCTCCTCATCGCACCTAAGATGGCGATGCCTAAAATTGGAGGCATTAGATTGAAAGTGTATTCGGTTTTGAGGGCAATCCGCCCGGGCTGCAGCGTCTAATACGACAAGCAGAAAACAAGGCCCACCAACGTAACAAACGGAAACACTCAAGGAATGATGGGAATGATGATGAAGGAGAAGAGGGCAAGGGATAACATACCGACATGTAATGCAACCGTACTTGCTTCGCGGGTGCCATCGCCGCTGTCGTATCGTCCCCGTTTGCGTACGGCCCAAAGGAGCCCCGGGGCCGCTCGTGTCGCTCAGGGCCAGGCTAGTGGTTCGTGGCGAAAAGTCGAGCAAGATCTGACAGGCCATGTTTTTTGAGGCAAAAACGATGATATGATGATGACCCTGGGATCCCTCCACGATTCAAGATGCGGGACTGTCAGACGGGAGATGGAGCTGCTGATGGTGGAGAAAGGCGGGTGGTGACCAGACGAGGCTGCCGGTGCCTTATTAAGTTGTAAGAAGCGCCCTCTCCCCCCTCCTCCCATCCCCTCCCCCCTCCTCATGCGGCGGGCTTTTTTCTGACTCACCTTTTGGCTTGCCTTTGGCTTGCCTTTGGCTTGCCTTTCGGCTTGCCCGCTCGATCCGCCTTGATTCGCCTGAATGTCCCGAGACTAGCACGATTTCGTCATTGATCAACTTTAGACGAGAGCCTAAATCGAGTCCAGCTGGTCAAGGGTGATCATGTTTCGCCGGCTGCACAATTGCGTTCTTCGTCTACTTTTTACCGGACAACGGGATTCCGGTGCAGAAAGCCTATTTTTGATATCCGAAAGAAAATATACCGTCATCTTTGTTGCCAAAGGCCACCGCCATGTCCAATATATACAACAATAACGCCGCCATTTAAACGAATTTTAGACAATGCCAAGTTTTAGACGATGCTCTTTGCTACGCAAGAGGCGGCACTGGCTCGTCAAAACAATCATCCCACGCTGTCTTATTCGATGACCAAAACACACGTAGCTTCTCAAGGCACAGGATCGGGCCGCATCGAGCCAGTCGGCTCTTCCACATGTCTAGTAGGGATTCGGCGATGAACAGCCGGTCTTCGACGCGACCATCGCCTCCGAGTGAGACACCCGCGACCGTCAAGGGCCAGGCGAGCGAGAGCACAGTCTTAAAGGTGCCTCGGTAAGGATCCAAAAGGAGTAGTAGCTCGCGCCGGTGCGAGACACGGACACTGTCGTACATGGACATGCCAGGTAGACGCGGGTAGCCCGCCGCGACGGCCCAAGAGGCCGTGGCGGATTGGGGCAGCGACAGTACCCCAAAGAGCCGCACTGCAACTTGGAAGATGCGAGCCATTGCAGAGGCGGTATCGTGCGACCCGCAGGTGACAGACTCGGCCCATGTGTCGCGATCAAAAGCGCTGATCTTATCAAAGAGGTCGCGTACCGAAGAGTTCATGACTGACTTGGGGCATTTCCCGCCGGCGATTCGACCCCGTAATTGTGTCAGGTTCTTCAAGACAACAAATAGAGTCGGCGGACAAGGGAGGTCGGGATTGACGTCAAGGGAAGAGAGGAATTCCACGTCCTCATCCGAGTACGCCTCGAAGGCGCGAAGCTGTTTGCTCGCTGGGCTCGTTGTATTAGCGGCAGTGGCGAAGCTGTAGCGGACGGATGAACAGGTTAGCTTGCACCGAAAAATGTTGCGAATAGGATGATGAGCGGGAACAGTGCGTACATCAATATCGTCCATTGCGTGTTGTTTATCGGGCCATTGTTCAGTCGCAGGAGTCCCCGAACGCCGCCCATATGTTGCATCAGGGCAATGTAGCCCAACAGGTGCGGACGCCACGCTGACGCGTCGACAAGGAGATCAAAGTGCAGCAGCGTGAATATTCGTCGAATGACAGCCTGTGCGTTCCCCGGCGGGGGACTCTTGTCAGAGAGGCCCCTGTTCACGAAGTCGAGGATGTCAAGCATGTGGCGAGAGTGAGATGCCCAGGCTCCGCCGACAGAAGGGTCCTCGGTCCAGCGTAAGAGCTTGCCGCGAGACTTGGAGGCGTCCGCTATCCGATGACAGCTGACATCGAGGAGGAAGATGGGGCGATTAGGGCCGTGGCATGGTGGTAACACCTTGTAAGCGGACATTAGCTGCTCCTCGCAGCACGGGATCACGAAAACGCAATCTGTGTTCCGTCAGTAGGAGTTACGTGGCGCCGCACAAGCGTGAACGAGGGCAAGGCCAGGGCGGATCGACATACAGTATCGGGCGGCTTCCATGCATTCCCAGTCGGGCGGCTCCGGCTCGGCGGGATAGTGGCGCCCAGCAGCGGCTTCCTGCATTCGCTCCCGGGCACGCCAGTCGCAGGCCACATTGTTGTCTTCCGAGCCGCCACCGGAGGCGGCAGAGGCGGCGCTCGGACTGCCACCAAAGTCGTAGCCACGGCATTCGCGACGACCGCTAGTGCAGCGGCGGCAGAATGGCTTTGTCTCGTCGCACTTGATGTGGCGAGAGCTGTTTGGTTTGTCAGCGACGGTGATGTCGGGAAGCGGGGGGCAGGGAGAAGAGAGGCGGGAGGAAAGGTAAGTAGGTAGATTAGGCAGTAGGGAGGCAGATGAGTACGCACCGGCAAGTGAGGCAGCCGGTCCTGCCTCGAGTTGTGAATCGCTTCTGACGAAGAGTTCCTTTCTTGGTCAGCTCGGTGCCGACGCCATCGCCACAGCCGTCGTTGCTGCTGGAGTCACCGCCACCGCTGCCGCCGTCGTGTTCGCTATGGGGTGCCATAGAGGCATTGGGGGCCGACGCACGGCTGCGTTTCTTTGGGTTTTACGTTTTTTTTCTCTTTGTCGACTTGTCCAATCCTCTTCCTTGAACTTGCAAACTCAGCGATGAATCTCGATTAAAAAAGGCTGGTGTTGGGGGTGGACAGGGTGCCAAGGAGGGGCCGGCCGGTGATCGTTCTTTAATCCACCGACTAACGCCGCTGTAAGCCTAGCACCGAAGCCTCTCAGGCAACCAACCAGCCTGGAGAAAGCCGACCAGGGCTGGTGGATTGCGCCACGGGTGCGGCAATACCGGTACTGGACGATGGGGGATGCAGTGTTTTGTTTTTCGCTGCCTGTGTTTTTTTTTGCAAGCTTTCTTTCATCCACCAAGGTTTGCGCAAATTTCATGTATGGATGGTACTTTTGCAGCAAGTTGGCCGTAGCGAGATATGTGATTGGCAAACCACCGTGGAGCTGCGCCTTCAGCTGAAGCAATTTCTCCGCGGTGACCAGAAATGGCAAACACAATCGGACACAAGTGGACAAATGTAATATATACTAATTTTTTGGAGTATATTTCCATGCTATTCGACATGTCTATGCTCTATTCATTTGCTAGCCAAAATCGGCGCATTGCAAGCCCGTCTCTTCCCGCACCCAGGCACAATAAATCCTAACCCACCCACCCCGAATCCTTGAAGAAGAAGACAAAAAATTGTACAGATATGTCAGCAGCGCCTGACTAGAGTCTCCGGAGGAATTTCTTCCATTTCCGACCGACCCGATGTAGTGCAGCTGCCTGCCGATGGCGTTTACTTCCAGGTGCCACAACGCATTGCGGCTGGCGGGAGGATTCCCGTCCCGAATTATTGTTCATATGTCGCGTGATTCCCGTTCTTATCGCTCGCTGTGCTTATAGCTTGGCGGACTCGGTAACGGTGCCAATCTTGAACCGATCGCCGTACTTGGCCAGGACGCTCTCGCCGTGGTACTTCCAGAAAGCCTTGGTGGCGTCCTTGCCGCCCATGCGCTGGATGACGCGGGCGCCGCCGGGATGTTCATCGACAAAGTCTACGAGATAAGAAAAATTGGAGTCAGCATCGTGGTCTGGAGAAGAATTGTCGACTATTATTGCTCCGACTGGAGGGGTTGTTGCGGTCGGTTGCCGAGGTCGCGGTGCGGGCCCAAGCTTGTGACGCGACAGCGCAGTGCGCCAGAGACAGCGCCGACCTCTACTCTCCCGTCGCAGCGAAGGAAGATACCGTCGCGTAAGCTGTTAGGAAGTCACTTACTCGTCACATCGTAGACGCTGCCCTCAATGATGAGCCACAGGCCGTTGTCCTTGTCCTTGTGCTTGCTGACCTCAGCGGCGGCGAATGTCTTGGACATGATGGCGGTGCTTATGGATGGACGGGGTTGATTGGTTGGGGGTTGATTTCTGTCGGGAGGTAGTAATATCGACAATTGACAGAAAAGGTGGTTGGACAAGATGTGTGGTACAGAATCCAAAAGTGTGGAGGAGAGAAGAATAAACAACGAGCCGTTTCCCTTATGAAGAGTTGAGAGCGAGGCCCTGGTTATGACGGTAGCACACATTAACCTCGGCTCGGCCTTTCAACCCCCACAAGCCAACTTTGACCTCACTGTGGTGCACAGAGTTGCCGCTATAAAAGCCCAGTGGGACGTCATTTTCTACCAGTTAGCCTATAAGCGTCCTGCTATTCGTAAAAGCCCGCCGGCACAATTTGCGGGGGAGGCAGCCCGGCCATGGCACTATTAATAACGAATAACCAGCAGCTAGGGGCAACTCGGGGTAAGAACCCAGAAGCAAATCAAGAAGCTGGGTTATTACCGGGGATTATGTCATACTTCCCGCACCTTGCACAAGCAGTCGATCTTCCGTCGCAGTTTGACCTGACCAGGGATCTCGGATTGGGATCTCAGATCCTTATTAGTACAGAGCATCATGACGCACAGGCTGTCGTCGACTTGAAGCCCGGTGCAATGCACGACGGACAGTCATGCCAGCAAAAAGTCCAATCAAGTGTATTTCATGAATTGGTGAATCTATGAGTCTAAAGTCTAGTTTTTCTCGACATAGCAAAGATGAAATCTCGTCAGTAAGTAGGAGTAGGATCTCGTAAAAAGAAGAAAGTCACATTTCCTCCGTCCGTGGCATTTCCCGCTGCCTTTGCTTCACGGCAAGCCTGAACCGCCGCGCAAACGACTCCGTCCCCCTACAGTCGCTCTGCTCCCGCTTGGCCAGGGCCTCGGGCATGAGCTGCGTGAGCTTTGCCACTCTATGTTCATTCTGCCCAGAAGTAATTAGTCATCACCCCCCCCCCAGCAATGCGCCAAAACAGAAGAGAGAGAAAAAAAAGAGGAAGAGAAAACTCACCGAAGGATGCGTGCTCAGCACCTCGTCCATCTCCTGGCCGTTCTCGCTCATGCGGCGCCAGAACGGGATCGCCGCGCGCGGGTCGTAGCACGCCTCCGCCATCATCATCAGCCCGATGTGGTCCGCCTCGTACTCGTGCGCGCGGCTCATCGGCAGCTCGTACATGAGCGCCGGCAGCACGAACGCGCCCGTCGCCATCCATATGGCGAACAGCGCCAATCCGGGAAGCGTGCCCACCAGGAAGAAGAGCGACCCCGTGGTCAGGTTGCCCACCCACGCCTGCGACAGCCGCTCCGCCGAGTGCGACGCCGTCTGGTGAGCAATCTCGTGCCCGAGCACCGCCGCCAGCGCGTCCTCGTTGCCGCACACCCGCAACAGCCCGCTGAACACGAACACCTTGCCGCCGGGCAGCACGAACGCGTTGGCCTGGGCTGGATGCGTGTGTCAGTCTTCATGTGTTTCAAGCATAGCGTTGATGTTTAAAAACAAAACGAGGGAAGGGCAAGGGCTTACAATCATCGGCTATGACGTAAATCTCCCAGTTCAGGTCCGCCAGCCCGCTCACGGGAATCAGCCGCCGCATCACCCTCTTGACGATCCTTGTCCGCACGTCACCGTCCCCCAGGATAAACCCGCCCGACTCGTACACCTGCTTGAGGATGCTCTGCACCGCCCCCGGGTGCATCCGCTCCGCGATCTCGTCCGACAAGAAGTTGAACCGCCACCGGCCCGTCAGCGGCACCGTCTGCGAGTTCCACACGTAGAACGCGACCGCCGCCAGCATGACGGTCACCACCGCCGCCTTGGACTGCGGCCCGGACGCCGCCTCCCGCGCCGTTCGTCGCGGTCCCGTGCCGCCGCCGCCGCCTGACGACCCGTTATGGTGGTACCCCGCCTCTTCCTCTGCCCGGTACTGGGCCCGCGGCCGTGAAAAGTCAGACGGCCGCTCCCACGTCCCCGTCACGCGCTGCGGTTCGGAACTTTGCCGGGTCTTCCTCGAGTACAGGGGCCCGCGCTCCTGTTGTGTTGCTCTCGGCGTCGAGCTGCAGAGCGCTCGGTGGGGCTCGGCCGGGAGTGCGCAGGCGCGGCAGGGCTCGACGACGACGGTCGGTCGCTTCGGAGCCCGTAGCAGGCCAATGCGACTGCCGCGGGCTAATCGGACGGTCGCAGACATCGCTATCTCGGTCGGCTTTGATACTGCGATGGGAGAGACAGACGGCGCAAGTAGTTTTGTTGAGGAGCTGCTAACACCAGGGCAAACAGCGGGCCCGTATCGTTTTCAAGGTCCAAGCGCATATCCTATAGTGCACAATAGCGGAACGACAAGCATATCGGGACCCATGGCGCAACGGTAGCGCGTCAGATTCCAGTATCTGGAGATTCCTGAAGGTTAGGCGTTCGAATCGCCTTGGGTTCAATTCCCACCTCTCGGTGATATCCCGTATATTTTTGCATTTTGTTACTACTTTTTCCCATTTTTTTTCTTTACGCTCAGTAATGACATCGTGTCATATTCAAGCGCACATAAGCAGCCTCAAAACCAAGCCGGACCCATGGCGCAACGGTAGCGCGTCAGATTCCAGTTCCTGGAACTTCCTGAAGGTTAGGCGTTCGAATCGCCTTGGGTTCAATTCCCAACTTCCGGATCATTTCTTTTTGTTGTGGCTTCTCGATGTTCGGGAGCGTGGCGATGGTGAGGCCTTCACTTCAATTGGCGCCGCCACGCGCTTTTTTGCCCTTGTACCGATGCGTCCTTGAGAAATAAAAGTCGCGCGGTTTTTTGTCCGTCATTATTTATTGTGCTTTGCGTAGTCCTACCTCGAGAAACGAAGCAGAGCTCAAACGCATGAACAACACACAGAAGTCGGTACTCGTACAAACCACTCTGCAACCATCTACATCACCAGGGAGGTATACCAAGGTGTTCCTTCACGATCGTCGTTGTAAATGCTATGATTCAACCATGAATTTCATGAATAGATGGAAGAGGAAGCAGAGTCTCCCTTACAATCTCTAACGCCATTGTACTATGCAACTTGACCATCAAAGCCCAATATTAGCACCCCCTTCTATCAACAGCCCTATGAAAACGCCGCCGTCCATGTTTCCCGTGTCTCTTGGCCCCAAAGCCACTATTATTTGTTCGGAAGTGGCTTGCGTCCCCAAACAACCCACATTGGCATGTATGCATGTATACGCGGGTCGGAAACCTCTCGTCTGACGTCGACTAATGCCACCTTTGACAACGTTAGTGATACGCTATAGCATGGAGAGGCAGTAGAAGCATACCTCAATCTCTTCTGGTGTTCTGTTAAACGCCCGGTTAAACATACGAAGAGAGAAGCCAGATAGGCCGGAGATGATGTTTCTCTCCCACATGCGGCCAATGTCCTTGAGCCTCTCGTCCTTTGCCCACCCGTTGCTCGGCATCTTGAATACCTGCTCCTGCACGTCTACGAATCCCACGCGCTCGTACACCTCACGAAGCTTATGCGCCATAACGGTGGGTCGGTCGCACATGTCGCCGGCAACGGCCATGTCGTGGAACCATCGGGCCAGTGCCGAATCTGGTGACAATGTGCCGTCATCGCTTGTGATGACAGCATCGAACTCTTGAGACTCGAACCATCCGCCGGGCTGCAGATTTTCAAACGCTTGCTTGGCTATCTGTTCTTCAAAAGACGACCAGCAACCGGATGTTACTCGTGTATGGATATAGTCGTAGTTTTGAGAGTACTCCCAAGGTTCGGATCTAATCACCGACGCAATTGTTAGCTCTGATATCTCCTTTTGCAGTGTTACAGACACTACTTCTTTCGATTAGATCAAATACGACTTACGAGTCCTCAACAAAGAAAGACACGTTGGGCGGTACATCTTCTGGTTGAATAGGAGACAAGTCTGTCGCCACGATTTGCGTTTGTGGAAACTCGTCACCCATTTGAATAGCCCAGTCTCCCGTGCCGGTTGCCACATCGAGTATTAATCGCGGAGGATTTTGAGCTGACAGAGGAGCGAAATACAACTTTCCCCCAAAAAGCCGCGTCATAGCATTGAATTGCAGGAATAGGCGTTCTTGCTCGAGGGTATCGTTGGGAAAAGCGTATGCTTTGGAGAGTTAGTTTGGTTTTTGCCATCTTTGTGGTATCCAGTTATGTCTGAAGTGGATTGTGAAGACGTACATCCAGCCTTGTATGCGTGATATGTTCTGCCAAACTCGGTTGGGAAGTTTTTGATGCTCTCCGAAAGCGACCATGACGATTCGACGCTGATCAGTGATTAGCCTGTGGGAAAATGGTTCGTCTTGTCCGATAGACGCACATGTCTTCTACCGCTGGCTATTTGGTCCTTGTCAGAAGTTGAACGTTTCTTGCGTGATTCTGTGATGGGTGCTTACATCGGGCTCTATTTCGGTGGATGGTAGTGCATAGTTGAAGGAGAACTCGTATTGGCTCAAGTCCCTGGGGTTATTTTGATCATTGCCTCGGCCTTGACCGCCAGGATTTGTGCCAGACATGGTATACTTTCGAGGTCTGTGCTTCTCGTAGTTGACTCGTTTTCGAATGCTGGCGTCGATTTTCCAGTCTGGCCCAGGATAGCAACTTTCGTCTTGACCTTGGCAAACTTTGGTGCTTTTGTAGTAAATGACCCAGTTTCCATCAATGTCGAGGCCCGGTAGTTGAGCCTCTCTACTGATGGCTCGTGTTCTCTGGCGTCTCAGCGTTGTCGTGGACAAGGGGGTCTGCGGAAACTATAATTGGGGTGTTGACCAGGTCCCTTGGCGCCCGATCCGAGTTTTTGGGAGCAGCACAGTCCAGCTGATGATGACGGGCCGCAAGTGAAATATGACTGTTCATATCTCGAGTACAGAAGCGGCGAAGGATCGACGAATGAGACCGAACCGAGGCCCCCAGTATCTTACGTTCCCACGGCCGCGGAAAGAGACGAGCAAGGACAAGAAGGGAAAGCGCGGAACATGGGAGGCTCTGCGGCAGGAGCGTTGGCTTATACGGCAAGACCGTAGTAGAAGCAGTCGCTGCTAAGGACGTGTCTAGGGTTCCACCGGTGCGTTCCACCTCGTTGGAAAAGGAGCAGTTTTTCGCGGGCCTGATGCAAGTGACTCTCTTAATTTTGGAAAAATTGCCTGTCAATGGGGCGGGTAGGATACCAGTTGGGCTGGCTGAGATATAGAGACGAGAGGGAGCAAATCCCAAGACCCTCAAAAGCGGAATAGAAGCGTCTTCGTATGCAAAAGAAAAGCACACGGGCGAGAAAAAGAAGGTGGCAAGGTGGGCGTTGTGAACCCAGCGCTGCGGTGCGGCACCGAGTTCCGGGGAAATGGTTCAGCATCAGGTCTAAGACCAAAAGGTTAGCACAGCGGGTAGGTTCCAGTCTACCGGGTCTCCCGTCTTTCGCTCTTCATAACCAAGTGGCGCCTCAGCAGCTGTTTTGGGGGTAAAAGAGGGTATCTTAGTTAAAGGGGGGGGGGGCATGGCTTCACTCCGAGTCCAGCCAAGTGGGTTCACGCGGACAAGGACATGGGGGTGTGGATGAAGGAAACTGTCTACTGGTAACTAAGAGTTTTATAGTTAGCTTCTCCTTCTCTCTCTTGTGAATTTGCTAGCGACATTACGTCCCGGTAATCTGGGTCGACCACCACCCACCAAGGAAGGGGGGCTGCTGCCAATTTAATGCATCATGCCGCTTCTGAGGCTGAGGCTGGAATGGCCCCTCCGGATGCGGACCAGATTGATCATGGTCATGACCATGACCTTGTCTGCAGATTGCAGATTTTGGATTCGATGTATGATGGCATCCCGGTTTTGGCCGCAGGTGGCTTGGGCTTGGGGTTTGATTGATTCTTTCTGCCCGGGAGGGCCTCTCGGCCGTCTCCTTTTGGCGTCTGATGTTGAAATTGAAGGACATTCAAGCTGATTCATTCTGGCACAAGCTAAAAACCTGCCCGTCGAGCACTTGCAGGACACTACTGCGAGGCTAGGCAGCTGCCAGAGCAATAATAATAAACAATACAGAAGTGGAAGGTGACCGCCTCATCAGCTCCGGCTGCTGGGTACTGGGGTGTAGGCTTTTTATTGTACATATTACAGGTATCGTGCATAACTTGCCTCAGGCAATCTTGGTATATGAGCAGGGGGCGTCAGTCAGTGAAAAGCTCCCATCAGCCCCCAAGGCACGACTTCTTTTGTAGCAATTTTTTTTGCTTTTTCAAATCATACATACGTCAGCCAAATTACACATCAGAGTGAGTAGGTTGTCAAAAGGAATATGTAAGCATTCACCATAACAGCCAAACCAAAATAATGCTGAAAATAACCCCTGTCCCTCCGACCAAAGCTTTCCCCCTCCCTCGTCTTCGGTCGGGTTCTTTGACCGGAGCCAACTAATTATGGCTGGCGCAATACGCGCGCTTGACTGAAAAAAAAAATCGAAAAAAGAAGCAAGGGAGAAGGGCATGGAGACTGACGTGCCAGACTTGTTTGTGTGGTGCGCACGCCAATCACCAATCCTTTTGCCTACAGGGACACTAGCTAAGCTAGACCGCCCGTCATCGTAGTAAAGCAAAATAAACTGGATGAACCCCTTCCTTTCTGTAATAGGGTCTCGTTTAGTTGATGGATTTGGTCCATAGTAGAAGAGACTAGTTTCGGCCCGGCCAAGAGCCGCATTCAAGCCCAAGCGGCCGAAATAAGGAAGGGCATCTTGGATAAATGGAAGAAGTAGAATGTACGTGCCTAATTCGGCCATGTACATGGGCACAGGCAAGTACAAGCACACGAATAGTAATCATTGTCGGGCGGGCCATTTTGATGTTGGTATTTCTCCGTACTATTCACCGGGAAGCGAATAGTCCGCCGAGCCTTTTACAGCTCATGTCTCAGACACTGCTGTCGCTTCGTTTTAGGCAGTTTTCCTAGTCAGATGAGACGCGTCTGATGACAGACGGTCAACGATGTTGGTCTGTGTCCGAATCAAACTCCCGGTATGCCCGTCTCTGCGCTGCGCATATGTGCTGTACGTAGTAAGCTTCTTGTCGGTTAAATTTAGACAGAACTGATATCCGTAGCTCTGCAGGGGGTGACTGCATAACTCGGGTGCCCGTTATTGTCTTGTCCTCTCTCAACGACGGTCAACTTGGTGAGAAGGAATCACTCTGCAGCTCAACAGCCACAACCCTGTCTGTCACGAGTGGTTCTCTTCAAATACCAGCCGCCTGCATCGGCCTCTTTGATCTACGAGATTTTTTCCTTCAACAATCACTAGTAACAAGCAATTTTGTTTGCTACCCAGCGGATATGGCTTGGCCCTGCCTGGGCATGGCCTCCAGCCTGCAGCCTACAGGGGGGCTGACGCGGGACCCGAATATCTGGGCGCCCCGAACCCGACGGTTTGGTTACGGGAACGCGTTTTTGGCACATGGAAAGACGGAAAGCATTGACCCCTCTCTCCACGGCTGAGAGCAGGGGCTATCCAAAAGGGGAGGGGGGGGCGGCAGTTCACTTCTCTCTTCCCAACACTAAGTGGGCAGTTGCGGTTGTGACTGACTCTGGTTGACTATTCTAAGCTTGCTTGCTACTCCCCCTCCATCCCTTCATAACGTGAGGACCTTTCTGGTCTCTGTCCCAAGATCGACTCGAAAGAAGCTGCACAAACCCAACCCCTCTGCTCACCAAGACGCAGACGACAGCCTTGACGAGATGGACCCCCCACACAAGAGCGGACACCGCTGCTGGGAACTTTTGCTCCCTGCAATTTGCAATTTACTCCAAGGAGCCCCGTGGCTGCAGCTTGTCGAGTCAAGCACCGACATGTCAAAGCCAAACTATTGACTGACGATCAGCGCATGTGTCCATCGTGGCTCCCCATTTCCGGACATTGGCCTGCAAGCGATGATTATACAGGACCTGCGCTTGAGAGCACGCTTGAAACTCACCTCCAGCTAGTATAAAGAGCCTTTCCCGCAAAGGGAACCTCGTCTATCTCTTCCCGTCAATGGATGGATACCCAGCGGGTGCCAAGGTGGATGGACGGATTGGGGGGGCCATGTCATACAGTACAGTCCACCAACCCATCTCATGTTTCTCGTCACATTGTCTTGCAGAAAAATACCCTATAACAGTGGACAACTATGAAAGCAAATTCCCTCATGCCTGCTAGTCACCAGGAACTTGTCCCTTCGCCATCTCGGTCAAGGCCATGGGTAGCCCAACCACGTGCCCTCCACGGAAATCCGGCGTAGGCTGATAATTCGGTCGTGATTATGGGCTTGGAAGAGCGAGAGAGAGAGAAAACCCGCCAGGCTGGGTCACGCATAATCAGCCCGCCACTGGTCCTCCCGCGCCAGAGACCGCCCGCCCCAACTCACAACGGGAGGATCGCCCAGCCGAGGCGGCCAGCCCCATGATGAGCGGCCGCCAGAGGGAAGAGGGGGGGGGCAGGTTATCAGTTCTCTGGGCGCTCGTATTCCGACGTGATTGTCTTGTGCGGCACTCCGTTGAGTGTCGCTCGACATTCTTCTCCCGGCCAACTTCGCTACACTCTTGCTTGTCCACTGCTTCCGCAGGGTCGGGTCTCGGCGATTTCTTGGATCGACCCGGCAGCTGAGAAGCAACAAGCCATACACAAAGCAGGGCACGCATGCATCGGACTTTGTCTTTGATAAAAACTTACTCGTCAGATCGTACTCCAACTTCATAAGCCAGGCAGCATATACGCTTGAGGCGACTCACACCCGTCGAGTACACAAGCCCATACACTGCACCAGTCGCCGAAAAGACGCTTGAAAAAGCAATCCAGAAAGCCGCGGTGAAACACGGACGTGAATAGCCCGTGATAGACAAGTGCCGAACACCCCCACCCCGAGAGCGGCCGGGACTTAGAAGAAGGCAAGAGGGATGATGGGAGTTTCCGGCGCGTTAGCCGCGGTTCTTATGACGATTTTGGCTGAGCCCGTGCCACCTTGCAAGGGGTCTTCTCTACCTTCCGAAGAGGGTTGATTCTCGGCACTCGGCCCGCTGAGACTCAGCTAGTGGTAGAGAGAGAAGAGAGAAGAGCGATACGTAATAGGAAATGTAACTGGTACATGCGGATTAGTCGGTAGTTGTCTACAAGTCTTGTACTCATCACCACGAAGATGGATGCCTTTATGCCTATTTGTAACTAGAGTCGCAGGTCGTTACTACAGCAGATGGCTATTACAATACCTCCAGCCGGGATGCCGATGGATGCCTGAGCTTCATTCTTCGTGGAGAGCTCCCGGGTAGTTTGGAGCACATGCATCAGATGCTATGAGGTGGACGGCCTCTACGCTGAAATCGCTTTCCTCCATCATCGGGGTGGTGGCCGAGTTGGTGGCTTCCGCTGGCACCACCGGCTGGCCCGCACGAGCGAGATATTACGTTGCAAAGAAGAAGCCCCCACGAGGCCAAGGGAGGAGAAAAAAAAAAGGGAGAAGAGGGTTTCCGGGATCATTCGATAAACCCGTGGGATAGCCTGCATGCCTCGAGCAAGATGCAGCAAGCGGGGGCGAAAGGCGTCGACCCAGTATCCTTGGCATCTGGGCAGATGTACATGCAACTCTTTGCATCTAGGTCCGGCATTTCGCAGACAAGATGAAAGACGGTATATGCAATGTCGCTGCTGGGGAGATGATATACTGCAGCGTACATCTTCAGCAAATGATAGATGATGTCTGGCCTCGTCTCGACGAGCCTTGTAGCCAACCACGTGGTGATGGCAAGAGCCGTTCGCCTTGGCGAGTAGTAGCAAACTCCACACGTGCATAATAAAGAGAAAATGAAGAAGACTGTGGATATCTCAAGGCGGGGGACACATACTCGGTCACCGTCCGGCATTCCAGCTGGATGCCGTGGCTCCTTGCCGACGTTGATCGGACACGGCACCTTACTCTTGGTCCATGGGACAGGCACATCAATCACAACATGATCAAACATTCACAAGCAAACGCGCAAAAGGTATCAGCAAGTATTCATAAACCAACCAACGTTTTCATTCAAAACATCTAAAATCCGCTACCGGAGGGGTATATAAATCTAATTCGGTTTCTCTCTCTGTCGACAAAGCCGGTCCTCCAGCTCGTCTCTGTTAATCAAACACACACCATCTAATACAAAAGAGAGAATGAGACAAAAGTCATATGACAGGGGAAGGTGCCGTTCCCGTGGTAGAATGTAGAAGAAAAGACCAAGTCCATGACATGAACTGGCTGTATATATAAAAAAAAAACACCTCCAACCGTTCCGTTGAAATCATTAAAATCCACCACCTGAGAGATGTGTGTATACATACACATGTGTTCTCTCCTTCCTAGTTCCTGTCAAGTTAGTAGTCACTGCCTGGCGGCGGGCTGGTAAAGCCGCTGCCAGGTTGGCTCTCGCCGGCAGACATGTACGTCTGGTCGATCCTAAAGATCCAGTCCATCTTCTCGCGCTCGCTGCGCGCTGCGAACAGCCAGGTGTTGTCGGTGCCATACACAGCAAACACGCCAGCCTGCATCCGCTCGCTGAGGCGCTGCAGACCCGGGCCTCCGCCGCCACCACCACCATTGTTATTGTTGTTGGCGGCGGCGCCGGTCCAGATAGTTGAGATGATACGGCCCGAAGCTGTCCGGCGATGACCGGGCGTGAAATCTGCGCCGCGGTTCTGACCAGGCGCCGTGTCGTAGTCATCCGGTCCGTTAAGGAGGGCCAGAATACCGGGCTGACTGTCGACGCGCGAGTTGCGCAGACTGACAAGCGCCACCTCATCACCATCCGACGCAGAGTGAATGTGCATGTAGGGCCGTCTTAACTCGACGAAACGCTTCACCCATCGCGTGGAGTCGCTGTTGGGCACCAAGAGGTAGCCGCCCTTGAGTACCTTGGGGTTCTTGGGCACGCGGACGACGGTCGTGATGAGGCTTGGCAGCTCCGGCTCCGACGTGACACCATTGGTCGGAGGCGCCGTGTTGGCAGGACTGAGAATCTTGGCCAGCGGATCAGGATACTTGACCCAAAGCGACAGACATTTTTGCAGAAGCTCAGTTTGTCGCTCGTCATACTCTGTCTTCTCCGCCGCGGCGAGCTCTTCGGCCTTGATCGTCTCCTCGCCCTCAGCTTCGCCCTCAGCTTCGCCCTCGCCAACCTTACTCTCGGCTTCGCCATCCACTTGAGCTCCCGTTTCCTCCTCCAAGGGAGTCTGCGACTCCTCAGGAGTGTCGTGCAACAAGTCATCGTCGTTTGGCAGCACAGGCCTCTGAATTTCTGGCTCCGGTTCCGGCTCAGCAGCAGCTTTCCTCCACTGTCCACTGGGATCAATACCAAGGACATTCAGCACCGTATGGACGGCACCAATCTCCGCGATTCGTCTCCTCTTCTTCCGTGCCATAATGAAGTCACTAACGATCGACACTCCTCGCGGGTTCCAATTGTCAAGGTTCTCTTCACCCTTGACGTAGTTGTGTTGGCTGTTCATTCTCCAGAGATCACCGACCCGCTTGATTGGCGCGGGTCTCATTGTGATTGTGAAGATGCCAGTCGAGGAGCGAATGAAGCGCATGTTCTGCCACAGCGAGGAGAACATGGATGTTTGACGAACGAATGTTCGTGAGAGAACCTGCACATGAACCTTCTGGGAGAATTTCATAGGCTCGGCCAGCTTATCGGAGCTGATTTCCCAGCCGATACTCATCTGCACCTTATACTTCTCCGCCGTCACACGATCGAGTAACAGAGAGTTGTGCAGACTCGAGTCCCATTGGGCAAACACGGTAATACTGCGAGTGCCGTTGGGGTTTTGGCGGAAGATGGGATGCTGGACAAGTCGTAATTGGACATCGGGCTCCTTTGCGCCCAAGTCTGGCGTCTTACCGCTAGAGTCGACAAGGCGAATCTTGCCAACACGCACAGCGGTCACGTCACCCCAGGGCAGGGCATCGCCGGAGCTGTGAGCGATGTTGATGGCAATTCTTCTCTGCAGGCCTTGGTGAAGCTGGAACGTGCCCGTGTCTAGTTCACTGGCCTGAGTGACCTCAACAGGTGTATACTCTCCCATTTCATTGAGCTCAAGAATCTGGACTCTCGAGAGCATATCGTGCTTCTCTTGTGTGAAAAATTGTGACTCGTTGATGCGGCTTGCCTTGGCACCATCACGTGGAGGAGCAGCGTCTCTCATGTCATCCCAGCTAAGGAGTTTATCGAGATGCATTGGCTGGACTCTGGCAAAGATTGACGCCCTGAGCATGACGGCTTGCGGCGCAAAGAGGGGAACACTCATGTTGTGTACACTCTCAAACCGAATAGGGCCTTCGTCAAAGTCGGTAATCATTTGCGTAGTCGTGACACCGTCCTCTTCTGAAATGCCGGGAATGAAGAGCTGGGCATGAACATCGGTACCTTCGCGCTCGGCGAAGCCGACGAACTCGTGCATGACGACGTTGAACTTGAGCGTGTTTGTGGGAGCCCGAGCATGAGACGGCTCAAGTGACAACTTCACAATGCCAATGGCGTGAGAGGTATATGGCGACAGAACATCCAGGGAAAAGTCCTGTACTCGGCTTTCGAACACGGCTTTCAGAGGCACATCGACTTCGCCAACCAAGGTATATGAAGGCATACAGTGCTCGATGAACGGATTATCCAGGCTGAGATGCTGAGCGTATTCGGGCTGGTCAAGATACTGATGCATTTGACGCATTTGACGGACGCGGTCGTGCAGCTTCTCCAAGCTCCAGAGTCGGACAACTTGGTTTCGGTAGTCGATGACTCGGATGCCGATGCACGGCTTTGGCGTCTCCTCGAGAGCTGCATCCTCCCCTTCGCTTGTGAGACCATTGAGGACCATGTCGTACGAGGAGCACATGACGTGTCCGACATCAACAACAGTAAACTGGAAAACGACACTCTCGTCGAGCTCGTTGCTCATAATTTGCGCCTCTTTGAGAATCGCGGCATTTTGCAGCACCGTCTCCGCCATTTTGACGTAGTGTCGGTCTCTCCAAACGCCAACGACGCTCCTCGCTTGGTCCAGCTCCTCTTCGGAGAGCTTGGGGTTTGCCTTGGGTCGCTTCAGAGGATCCATCTTCTCAATCTTCTCCTCGAACTGCCTTCTTTGGAGCTTGAGCTGATTTTCCATGTCCCCTTTGAGCTCCAGCAGAGCAGCTTCCATCTTGGCCTTCTCCTTCTTGATTTCTTCAACTTCGACGTTGGCGGCCTCGGCACTCTTGAGCTGTTCTTGGAACTCTTCTTTCTGCTTCTCGAGCTGACTTTGGAGTTCTTCGCGAACCTCTCTTAGCCTGTCATCTGCTTCGCCCTGCTTGGGGGTTGAAGGCATGGTCAGAGCCGTATCGAGAGAAAAGTTGTCGATGGTGCCATTTGACATGTATTTTTCACGGAGCTGATAAGAAGTGACAGACTCGGTATCCTCGCCATCCTCACGAACATTGACGCGTTCGGCTCGGGCTCGCTGCACTTCTTCAAATAAAGAGTTGAGCTCTTCATCCGTGAGGCTAGTAAAGTTTGTCTGGTCGGATCCAAGGATAGCGCCGGCGGCTTCGCGACGGGCAGCAGACCAGTCAGAGTCGCGGTTATTGCGGAGAGATGGAGACTCCGGTCTAGAGATGTCGCCAAAATCTGAAACCCTGCTGAATGCACGCTCATGGCCCGGACGTGATCCAGGCGTGGGGCTCGGTGATGTCTTTTCCCAGGCTTGGATTTGGCTAGCCGTGACGGATTGCCGAAGGAGGCTGTTGCCGACCTCTGCTCTCTCGGCTCTGGCTTCCATGGGATGGTTGAATCGGAAAATATGAAAGTCGCCAAGGATGACTCTGTAACCAGAATGGAGCTGGGCGGCTTCGGTGATACGCTTGCCATTGACCATGACGGAGGCACCCTCACTTGGGATAACGGTGACGGTGCCGTCAGCGCCATTCTCAAAGGTGCAGTGATCGTGCAAAATCCTGGTTCCGTTGAGTCGAATGTTGGCTTGATGGTCGGCGTTGGTATCAACATTTCCGACAGTCGTAGTGCCCGGTTTCAAATTGTACACCAAACATTCCGCCAGCAATGGATCGTCCGACAAGTTGACCAAATGAGGCATCTTCTTGGGAGTATGAAGGCCGATGAATCCCTTTTCGATGCTAATCCCAAGTTCTTCGAGAGCTGCTTCGCGTTCTTTCTGAATTTCCTCGGTCTTTTGGAGCTTCTGCTCCCATGTTTGATTAAGATCCGTGAGGAGCTTTTCACTTTGGCTGAGCTGCTCGGCAATCTCTGCCTTGGACACTTTCTTGACGGTGCCATCGGGACCGGTAATTCTGACCATTTGCTTCTCAAGCGGCGTATTCTCGTCATAAATCTCGTCCGCAGGTACCGGGGCACCGCCGGCTCCGACTGTGCCACCGCCAAGTTTGCTCCGTAACAAGGCGAGTTCCTCCTTGAGCTCTCTGATCATGCGCGCGTTGGCATCTTCGTTGATCACGGCGTGGTTCTTGATGCGCTTAGCAGAGTCGGCATATCGGAGGGTGCTGAGAGTCTCGTCATAGTTGATGTCGGCCGGACTGATGGCCGCAATCATCGCAGTCATGCTGTTGCCGCCGAGGGAGTCTTTAAGAAGCCATGTCAAGACGGAATCTCGATAGGGCACTTGAGAGGCACCCTTCTTCTTCTTGCCACCAGTCGACAGATCGGCAAGCGCAGCAATGACACGACCAAGAGTAGACAAAGATCGGTTGATCTCAGCACCTTCCTTAAGTCGCGCACCAGTAGCACCCGTGGAGGTGGCTCTTTCAGAGCCAGCCAAATCAACGAGCGAAATCTTGGCCACCTTTTCCATCTCCATCTTGGTCTCGGCGTCGTACTTTTTCTGCGTCAACATTAGGGTGAAGACGGCGTGCGATCGACTCGAGGTTTCGTTCATGTTTGTGGCGGCGACTGTGCGGGCCTTGTTTCCTTCGTCCATGAGGTTTTCGATTTCTTGGAAGCTGCCGACGACCAGCTTGGCAAGATCCTCGACGTAGGGGCCGGTAGAGGGATGCTCTCGAACCTTCAGGTTTCCTTTTGTAGAAGGGTTGAGCAGGTCGCGGACTCGTTCGTTGTAAATTTCGAGATAGGACACTTCGACTGTGCATTTCGTCGTCGCGTCGGCCTGGATCTGGTCTATGCGACTGAACATGTCTTGGCAAATGTTGGGAATGATGCCAACTTCCTTACCATAGCCCATCATCGAGTATGACTTGCCAGAGCCTGTCTGCCCGTAGGCGAAAATACAGTTATTGTAGCCTTGAAAAGCATTGTCGAGTAATGGTTTGCCAAGGTCGTCGAAGAGATTGGATTGGGCGGCGTAGCTGGAGTCGCCCTTGTCGAAAGACCAGTAGGATCTGTCGAAGGCAAAGCTTTTGGGGGCTTCGGCCTTTGCGCTTTTACCACCGTGACCGTCGGGTGTGGTCAGGACGGTCTGGTTGTCCTTCATCTCAACGATACATTTTGAGCCGCGGTCGATTTCTCTGCCGTTGAAGGGACGGACTCGAACCACGACCTTGATATTACCACCGCCTGCGGGAGCCATAACAGCGGTTGTGAGTCCGGGGACCAAGCGTGGTCCCCGTAGTTATGTGTTGGGTGATGTGTGGCGGATGCGCCGCGATTATGGTAAGTTAGCGCGGTGGTTTGTCGAAAGGGGTGCGGATGCGATTCGCGTCGCGTTGCGGCAGAGAAAGCGAGAGTTTGGCGGAGGCCTTTAGTTCCAAAACGCAAGTCGCCAAGACGAGTCTGCTAAGTGACGACGAGTTTATGCGTGAAGGAGTTATGGAACCGAGATGTGCGAATGCGCAGAAAGCGTCGAGGGCGAAGTCGAGTTGGAGATTACGGAGGGGCGGGTGTTCGATGGGTCTGTATGTCTGTATGTCTGTATGGTTAGATATGGAGCTAATGTTGAGAGGAGTAGAATGCTAACTGGGGCGTATCCAGGCTAAGCGATAATACTATGCGAGATAAAATGAGGCTATCGTAGAAAGTAATGCGGTCGTGAAGTCGTGGTATGGTTGATGGGGAGCAGCAGGGGAGCCAAGGAGGTGCTGGCGCGCGGCGGTCCCTGGAAATATATAACAATGGGGGATGAGGACTAACTTTGGAAGTTGCAGTTAGGTTGAGGTTAAAATATGTACCTACTCGCCTATTTTTGGTGGGGATGTACAAACAGTCTAAAGTTTAATTATATCACCAACTCTTGATATTTTCGAACTCTGAAATTCGAACTCTGTTAATTTCGAACTCTGAATGATCGTGTGCAGTGTAGCGAAAAGGACAGATTTGCCTCTTTTCCCTTTTTTCATCTTTTTAATTTTTCTTTTTTCATCTTTTCATTTTGCAATTTGAGAACTCCTTTTCCAGGCAGCGGGCACTTGGCAGAACCAGATACATACATATAGCTATTAATAGAAGAGAGTTTGGTATTTGGCATTTTCCCAAAGCATACAATAATGTTTAATTATACATGGCCTTCCCTTTTCTTTTACTAAGAAAGTCTATAGCTGCAGTCGACATAATGTAAAAAAGGAGCCAAGTTGGTAGAACACCGGCAGTGAACATGCCCATAACGTCATCGTCAAGGCGCCAAAACTGTCCTCACTTAAAATTACAGGGCGCTCAGCCACTAAAACTGTCCTCTCACGTGTCGCCCTGGACCTGCTTCTACCCGGCTTCCCCGCCCAAAGTAAGCAAATTACAATGCTATAAAAGCGTAACGCGTCTCTCCATGTGCGCCTGCAGATCACCGACATGCTGCAGCATTCACCGCGGGCACACTTCAAGTCTCGACAATGTTTCCCATTGACTCGGAAAATTTTACCATTTACCGATTCATGCGCACGTTTCCATCTCCCGATTCGTCGCGCGCCATCTGCCACCCGTTTTTCCTGCAAAACACCCGTCCTCTCCACTTCCACATCCACACGCAGGGCTGCTCTCCCTCTCTCCCTTTTTTTGCTCTCTTCTGCTGAGTCCTGCGACACGAACCATGTTTCACCCTTCCCCAACCGGCCGATCAAAAGGAAAAAAGACAATCAGCCCGTCAATTAACAATGCAATTCATAAACACGTTGCGCTATGACGGAACGGGGGCGACAATGACTCGCGACAACGCTCGCAAAACGAAACGAAAACAAGCAGCCAAGTTCCTACATTGATCGCGACCGACTGATTATCATGCATAGTCCTCCTCCAGCGCCGCCTCGTACTGCTGAATGTCCATCGGCCCGGCCGGCCATACCATCACCGCCTGCACCGTCGCCGTCGCCGTCGCCGCGCTGCCGCTCCCGCCCTTGACGTACCCGATCACGTTGACCCATTCGCCGGTGCGCGTCGCCTCGCCCGCCAGCGTCTCCAGCAGCAGCTCGACGTTGACCGTCACGGAGACGTCGGTGCCGCGCGGGTACAGGTGGCCCAGCGTGATGCAGGCGGTGCTCGTCGAGTAGGCCGTGACGCTGTGCACGGGTTGGTCAGTAGACGGCTCCTAGAATAAAGAGTGCTGAGTCGAGGTGGTGCGCACCAACCAAGAAACCGCACCTTGTCGTCCACCTTGCGACGCGGCAGCGAGGACAGCAGGCAGAGTTCCGAGGGCAGCGGTCCTCTGCTCATCCCGCCTTGAATGCAAGTGACGATACTTTTTTTGCCATGTGAATGAATGAACGTGAATGAATAGCCAGTCTAGCACGCCTATTTGCCCCTCCATGACGGATAGTTACCGCGTCTAAAATGGCTAGGCAGCCTAACCACCAATCCGGTGCCGCCTTTTACCCCTCCCATTCTTTGCCCTAAATATCAACATCATAATTTCCTCGCGTCCTTCAACCCGTTGCATTAAACCTGTGCGCGTTACGACCTCCCTATAATCTCTAAAAATGGGTTCAGAATCCCCGAAATTCGTTTACAAGATTTTGCCCCAGGCCCCTGCCGAGCCCTTTCCTGCCCAGCTACCGTTGTCAGAGTTGGACGCCAAGGACGGCTTCGTCCATCTAAGCACGGCTACGCAGGTACACGACAAGTCCAATCCACCACCGGTACCACCGGTGATTTATTAGTAGTTACTGGCGTCTGACGTGGAGACAGGTGCCCAAGACGGCGGATTTATTCTTTGCCGAGCACACGAAGCTATGGGTGATTAAGCTGGAGCTTTCCAAGCTGGCCGATCCTGTCAAGTTTGAGGACAGCTTCCCTCACCTCTACGGCAACTTTGGCGCGCGTGACGTTGACTCTGCATCTCGCTTCGAGCGTGAGCAAGCGCAGACATGGGCAGAGAGCATGAGTATCTCCTCCTGGCTGGAGTAGTTTTGTTGGACTCTCAAAGGATGCCGACTACAGGAACATGCGTCCACAAAAGCAGCTCATGAAATCGAACTAGCATGGCATTGCCTTTTTTGCATATTTTACTGAATTTGATGTTTGTACCCTACTTGCATGTGTACATGCTAGGCATTGCATGTACAACCGTGGCCCTCCCTCTCCTTTCTTTTATATTTGTCCTAAATCTTGAGGTCCTTTTCGACCATGCCCCGACAGATGGGGTGGTAAAAGTCCTTGTTCTTCTCAAACGTGTCGAGCGCGCTGTCGCGGTCGACCTCGTTGAGCGCGCGGAACAGCGCCCGCACGAACTTCATGCGGCCGACGCGGCCCAGCAGCGCGGCCACGCCGGGGACGCAGCTCCGGTCGCCGGCCTCGAGGGCGATGCGGTAGTACGCGGCGAGCACCTCGACGTTTTGCGAGGCGGTGAAGCCGTAGACGGCGCCCAGCTTCTGCGCGCGCTCCGCCGAGAGGCCTTTTTGCTCCTGGACGGCGCCCAGGAAGACTTGCAGCTGGTTCGCAGTCAGGCCCTCAATGTCCTTGGGACTGGGCTCGAAGGACTAAAAAAAGGCAGGGTCAGTTCCGGCAAGGGTTGTTCTGCATGGGGGAGCGCATGGCAGGAGACAAACTTACGCTTTCCTTCCACTTGTTTGCCAGGTCGTAGCACTGCTGAGCGAGCGTTGTGTCAAACTCGGGCTTGGGAGGCAGGCCGGGTGAGTACAGCTTGTCCTCCCAGTCGATGGTGATGAGCTTTTGCTTTAGCGCCTCGTCTCCGAGGCCGTTGAAGAAGTCTACAAAGGTCTGCTTGAACTCAAACGAGTCGAGCGACTTGCCCGCCCACTTGGTGAAGTAGTGGGGGATGAACTTGTCAAAGTTGGCGCGCCCGACGAGGCGGTCGAGGTAGTAGAGGAAGTGGAAGCCCTTTTCGTAGGCGACGGTGCTGTAGACGTCCTCAGGGTCGACATCCTTGTGGCTGATGATGAGCTTGGTGTACTCGTGGTCGGGGCCGAACTGGGCGACGGCGTCCTCTGCAGAAAAGTTGTCAGCGATTTTACCTTGTGCCGTGTCTGAATGCTGGCGACGTACCGAGAGCCTTCCAGCCAATGATGGAGGAAAAGTCGAATTCAGGCTCGCCGTGGAGACCGGCGCCGATGCGACGCTCGAGGTAGGTAGTCCAGCCTTCATTGAGCCAGCTGTGACATGTTAGATTGGCGGTGGGTATGGAGATCTTGTGCGACGCGGCGGCTTACAAGTGCTCCCAGCTGGCATTGGAAACGAGGTTGCCGCTCCAGCTGTGGGCAAGTTCGTGGGCGATGACATCGACGTTTTGGCGATCGCCGGAGATGATGGTAGGAGTAGCAAAGGTAAAGATGGGGTTCTCCATGCCTGTGTAGTGTAAGTATAACAAGACCAGCGCTAAAGAAGAAGAAAGACAAAGACGCACCTCCGTAGGGGAAGCTCGGAGGAAGGACCAAGACGTTGTACTCGCCCCAGCGGTAGGGAAAGATGAGCTTCTCGGCGACCTCGAGGAAGCGGTCCATGTCGCGCTGCAGCTCCCACTGGCAGCCGTCGACCTCGTCCGGGCCGCTCGCCACCTTGCTACGCGCGCCAATACGCCTCATGCGGATATCCCCCGACGCGACCGCGAACAGGTACGACGGGATGGGCACCTCCTGCGCGAACTCGTACACCTTTTCCACGCCCGGCGTCGGGTCGTGGTCGCCGACGGGGACGCCGCTAGCAACAGTCGGCAGGCTGGAGGTGAGGCGGAAGCCAAAGGTCGACTTGACGTCGGGGGTGTCCTGGCAGGGGAAGATGCTGCGGCAGTTGATGGCCTGGCACTGGGAGAACATGTACGGGTGGGCGCGGTTGGAGGTCTGCGCGGGGGTGAGCCACTGCAGCGCGGTGCAGCGGTCCGTGGTGGCAACGTCGAGGGTGAGGTCCAGCGCGGCGCCGACGGGCGTGGCGCCGACGGCAGCGGCGGGCAGGGTGACGTGTAGGGGCGCGCCGAGGGGGTCCCGGTGCGGCTTGAGCTCCCACTCGGCCGCGGTAGAGGTGCTGGTGTCGGAGCTGGTGCTGGTGTGGGCGACGCGGGCGCCGGTGACCTCGACGAAGCGTGTGTCCAGCACCACCTCGGCGCCGGCGTCGGCGGTCTGCCGCTCGAGGCGCAGCGTCACGGAGCCCTGCAGCCGCTTGCGGTCAAAGTCGATGCGGAAGTCGACGGCCGTGTGGCGCGTGCGCCAGAGGCCGTAGTTGGAGAGGGTGGTGGGATCGCGCTGGGCACCCATGATGGTGGTGTTTGTGGGCTTGGGCTTCGGACTGGGCACCGTCGCAAAGCTCGCTCGGGACAGGGTCGTGATGCTCGGGCAAGGGGCTGACAATATTCGGACGATAAAACGGCTGGAGAATCTCGATCCGCGGCTGGTGGTGACACTTGTCCACGACATGGGGAGGTTTTGTCCGGGGGAATCTATTAGTATTGGTAATTTTCTGCGGGTTGCCCCCAAAGCCGTCACAGCCCGCCGGCCGTCACTTCCGGAATCTGGTTAGGTAACGTAACGGCAAACCCCAACGAGATGGTACTTTTGATTGGAACGGCTAATTACGGAACCCGGAGGATTCGCTGATGCGCGTCTTCCTATGGAGGTGGTATCTTGCAGTTGTGCTGTGTGAATTTTTCGTTTACTGTTGACTTGTAATTAAGATTAATAAGTCGGGGAAGTTGGCGGGGGGCTTCCTCGGCGAACCGGAACAGACATCCGGACACGATGCATCGCAGACTATAGTGGCGTGTACAAGTCGACGAGCGAGGAAAGAGGTAACTAGAAAAGTATTGAATATTTAATCAAAATTAATCAAACATATATCCCTTAAATCTCCCATGGCAATACAAAAGAAAATGACCCTGCTCAGACCATGGCGCCGCTTCACATCCCGACGATACAGGAAGGGATGTACCACCAGACCCGGACTGTATGATGAAGAGATAGTATCATACATGGAGCCCTTGATGCCTTGCTGTAGATATTTATCAGATTACTCACCAAGGATTCGCACTGAAAAATGACTTTGACACTGCATAATGACTTCACAGATCCCTGCCACGTCGCTGCGGCCAATCCGCCTTCTTGAATGTCACGCATGACGAGACAGCTGAGAGCATTACTGGTAATATATTTATTCGAAGCTTCCAATCGAATCCCCTCCAATATAACTAGCCATCTTCCAAGCGCTTCGTGCATCCTTCTGTGCATACAGCCACACCGCAGTCACCAGTCGGATCAATTCGTGGCTGCAGCACGGTATATCAACTTAATTTATACCGCTGCAGATATATTTCATCCCGCGAACCCTGGCCTTTACTTTCATAAAATCTTGGAATATTCTGCAGAGTTCTACTGCTAGCCAATTTATCTTGGTGCCTGAGTATCTTGACTTTCTTCGTGTCGGTATGTTACACTTGGTCGCGAATATAAAGTTTGCAAAAAGGCATAAGAGCGTGAGGCCAGAGCGTGACGATAAAGTTAATTAACCTTGTAAAATAGATTATGAGAATAGAGAACTTAGAATCTTAGATCCAACAGTATATTCGTCCTGTCCGCCCCCAACAAACACCGCCCTCGCCAGCTTCCCTTCTTCAATTTCGCTTCCACCACTCAACCTTCACTTCCACCAATCAATCTTCACTTCCGCCAATTAATCTTCACTTCGACTACTCAGTAGTCACTCTCGACCTTTCGGCCTTCATCGACTTCTTTAACAAGCGTGGCTTGTTTTGCGCAGCCAACCCAACATCATGTCCCTACTCACCCAACTCAGCCTGGCCATCGTGGCGCTATTTTCCAAGGGCACTTTCCTTCGTAGACACAACACACGGCCTTCAAACCAAGCGCTGGATAACCAAGAACCGAATATTGAGCTCCCAGATTGGAACTCGCGTAATTCTGAACCTGAATGGTCTGCTATATCGCTCACAGATTAAACCATGCCCGGTGCGCGAGACGGGCAGGGCTATTTGGAGCTCCACGACTCGGCCCGTGTACATGGCCGTCTCTATTGGATCAATCAGGAGGCAAACAAGTACTATAGACAAGCCATCAGTGTAGGCAGTGAAATTGTCTATGGAGGAATCATCTTGTGAGGGGAACTTGCCGTCCGTTTGCTTGTAGTACGTCGTCGGTCGGTGATGGATGAAGCTTCAGACAGCAGTTCAAAATACAAACAAGTATTAAAACAAAAAATGATCGTGGCTTTGCACTGGGTGAAATAATAACTTTTATTACTTAAAATGTTCTCCGGATTCTTCAGGGTCATTTTTAGAATGCGAAAAGGACAGCCTCCATTTTGAAGTCCTTTCTTCAGTCCTGTGACGCTTTTGCCTGGCAAATGTGAGGATAGTGCATGGGAGTGTGTGAAAGTGCAGGCAAATTAAAGTCCAAGAATAATGACTAGAATGAGATAGTATGTTGATAAATTTATAATGATTTGTTTCTTTGTACTCAAATTGTTCTGTGTTTGGTATCGCAAGGCCTCCCTCCTGAGCCTCTTGCCATGTGCATCTGCTGGCGATCCACGGAGGCACGCGACTAGATACAGCAGAACAGACCGAATAAATTCCATTTTCAATTATTTATTGTATCAGTTTTTCATATTTCTGCTCAATTTCTTTTTCAACTCTTAGCAGTTGTTTTTACCACGCACAATGACCCCATCATGATACCATTACGCACCTCTCAGCCACCGCACCACACCGCACTACGCTAGAACTTGCTCCCTTCCTTGCCCTCACGTTTCCAATATTTGGCTTGGTTCCAATCTCCTTCTTTCTGCTAAGCCATCGTCTCACGGTTCCCCTGCATAGCCTGGGGTCGGTCTAGATGGGTGCCCATCCCCGGCCTGCCGGCCCCTCCACGGCAGGTTCGTCGCAGGTCGACTGCAAAAGCCACCACGAAGCCACCGTTTCTCGAAATTCCATACACGTGGTGAGAAGCGATGGAAAGCCACCACGCCAAATTCTGCAGCGTGAGGTAATACCAGCCAGTACAGGAAAAGGGCGACGACGCCCGCCGCCGCCGCCGTCATCCTCAGGCTTCTGAAGCTGGCACGCAAGGAGCCACAGCGCCGTCGGAGATGCAGAAGACGAGAAAAATGGTCGTCCAGATGGGACGGAATGGTGTCAGTTGTGGCGCCTGTCAATGACCCTGTTTGGGCTATGGAGGGGCCCGCCCGACTCACGGCAGAGAAGGCTTTCGGCTTCGCATTCGTCCTGGGAAGAGGACGACGACTGTTGATCTTGCCAAGGTTGTTGACAGCTCTGCCACAAGTTGAAAATTCATTCGTCAGGTTGACCTGGCCCAGGAAGAAAGATGCGTTTCGCCTTTTCGTTGAGGGGAGGGGGGGTGTGGTGTGTGAGTCTTAATAGTACGATGAAATATAGTATATTTTGAATGCTCAGATGAGATCTCTAGTTAGTTATTAGTTGGCTGAATAAAGTGCCCACTCACACATATTCCATCGCGTGACTTGTTTCGTTTCCCCCTCCTAAGAAAAAAACCCTGACATTCAGTGTGTCGCATTCATAGGTACATACATGATACTTATTACTCAGTAGTAAGGTAGGTGACTAACTAGTTAAGAGAGAGGGCCAATGCCGAGTACGAGTTTCACCAACAGCATTAGCCTGTCCTCTGTCCGCCACTTCCGCAGCTTCCTCCTCTGCATTGCATACATGCATGCATGCATTCATCGTGGCAACCACTTCGGCCTCGCGATACCGAACTGCGCATCACCTCGAGCCCTTTCAAAGTCAAGCCACCATCAAAGCTACGATGCAACACACCGTCTTTCCCCCTCATCGTACCATCTGGGGGAGGAGGGGAGGGGGGACCCTCCCCCGCACACCAGTCGCTGGGCGATCAACCTGTGTGTGAAGCAAAGCGAATTGGAGCAGCAAATGAGAAGAGGGGTAAAAGAATGCGCTGACCCCGAATGATTTCGGAATCATATTGGTGCTGCTTCGGAAATGCCTTTTGCATCGTCAACCTTTTAAGTTTTGTTGTGCAGCGAGTGAAACGGGGGACTTGTCGCCCACAGACAACCAACTACATACATAACTATAACTAGTTAGTTAAAGGCCGCTAGCGAGAACTGAGAGAGAGTGTCGGCACACTAAGCGCACATCATTGATACCCTAGAGCAGGATGAGAGGGGAAGAAGAAGAAGGGTCTGGATAGACATAAACGTTTGCGTTCCACCGCGGGCCGCTGGTTGTTCCCGATGCCCATCTACATGGCGTCTGTCGGTGGGAGTCGGAAAAGCGACCTTGTGGGCGGTCGTGAATGATTGCTCCTGGGTATGATGATCTTGTAAGACGTAGTCATGGCATTGATTGGCATTGGTGGCATTGATGGCATTGATTGGCATTGATTGGCATTGATACCAAGAACTCGTGATACGCCTCGAACCCTATCAGATCATGCTCGCGAGACTGAGCATGCCTATCTATCTGTGCGTACCGAGACACGTCACAGAAAAGTATAACACTAATTACGATATGAGACACTCAACCCGTTGAAACTCTATCATGGACGGCATTGCAGCATCGCAATCTTCTGCCTCTTTTTCGTTACATATTCATGCATAAACCACTCCGTGATCGGACATGATATAGATTTACTCCGCTTGCAAACTCGCTGAGCCCCTTTCCCTCTCGATTGCCTCATCCGCCGAGCTTTGGCTTTTTTTCTGCTGCTGTCGACAAGGAATCCATGTTGACACACGTGGACGCCCAACGTACTCCGTACACAAAATTGACCTGGGGACAATATCGGGGACAACACCGAACTTTTTTTCCTTTCTTTTTTTGTGTCTGTCTATATGAATTTAATATGCTCGAGTCGGAGATTAATGTTCTGCGCTATATGTGATAGCCGAAACCTGATATCGTCGCCCATACCCCAACAAAGCGTCCGTCGCATGAAGACAGGCGCAGCCATTTACATGGGGAAGACGAGAGAGGACGGTGGCAATTGCGCCGTCCATGCTGGGCTTCCTTCATCTTGTCGATGCGAGGGGTCATCATCCGAGACGGAATCTGCCACCTTTCCGAAGCTATTGCCTGCTGGAAAAGTGTAGCAAAAAGCAATCTAGTCTATATGACAAGTCGACTGCATGGCTATCTCGTCATGCGCAGGCCAGGAAGCCAAGACGGCCAGCACTGATCGCCGCTTCCCAGACAATGACATTAGTATTTTTCTTTTCTTTTCGCCCGTCAAGAATAGATTGTGCG